GGACTCAGCCCTGTGTTTTCACAGCTGTTCACTGTTTCTTAGGACTGTGTCGGACACATGCAGTTATTCAAATATTGTCAAGTCAATAATGATAATAACCATGTCATGCATAGCAGGTGCCAGGTGGAGGCATGCAGTAACTCACTTGATGCCCAGGACTATGGTTATCTCCATATTAGACAGAAGATCGCAGAGGCACACAGCTCAAGGAACGTGCTCAAGGTTACACAGCCCAGATGGGCGGTGCAAGGGTTTCCATGCAAGTACTCTGGCTCCAGGAACCAGGTTGTTAGATGCTAAGCTTTACTGCCTCTCATCAGTGGATGAATGATTAGTTAAAACAGATTTATAGGAGCTATAAAAATGTACTTAGTAATGCATCTTAAAGTAAATGGTTAATAAAAATAAATTTCATAAATAATGAGGTAATATTTCTCTTGCCAAGAAAGGACAGTTAATGATTAAGACAGTTATCTGGAAAAAGCTTTTTTAAAAAATAGGCTCAGATTCCTGAAAGATACATTATTATGGCATCATATATCAACTACTGATCCATAACTAATATTGGGCTTTTAAAAGCTAGTAAATCTGTCTGATAACATGTTTCAAACAGCATGTTGTATATCCCTGTTATTATCCTCACAAGATATACCTACATCTCACAGAAGAAATGATAATAGTAAACAGATGTTAATTTTCATCACAATTTATTTTTGGTCTCAAGGTTCAGTTCAACGCCTAAGAACATTAAAAGAGTTGGAATTTGGAAATACAGTTGAACTAGGATCAGTCTTTAAACAGGTTCAGACTTTTAGGACATTTGCCTAATACTGAACAAATGTCTAGGCTTTTGCTTTCTAATTTAGTGCTTGGTCTGAACAGTGAGACTGAATTAGACCATAAACTCATGTACTGCTAGGCTGGTATTTTAGATCCAAGGGATGGACAGGCTGCAAATACTGGGAAGCAGTCTGTGGACGGGAAAAAGCCAGCAGCATGGGGTTCAATGAGCTGAATTCTTTCCACACAGAGTCAGGAAAACTAAAGTGGTTCAAAACCAAATTTTCCTAATAAGGAAAGTAATTTGTGTGTTTTAATTGTTAATCTGTTTCATCCATGTTCAAATATTGGCTTTTTTATTCATACTATTAGTATTTCTAGCTATAAATTTTTCATGATTTTCCCTGCACACACAGAAGAATGGGCTCTCTCCACTGGGGCGTTTTCAGACTGCTCGGCTCCCTAACAAAGGTGATGAGTATGTGTAACAGCCAGGTGATGGGTTCAGGTGTTGGTTTTGAACTTGCTTGTTTTCAGTGATTATCACCATCTTTAAATGCGAATATATATGCTTTGATGAGAAATACGTTCAAAGGAAGTACTACCTGCAGGTCCAGTGGGCTTTCTGAGATTCAGGTGCATGTTAGGGCATCAGTAGATGCCAAGGATGAAAATAAAGGTTGACTTTGGTTCAGTGAGACAGGTAGGGAGGCGACATAAAAGTTTGTTATCGTGATCAAGTTTTTCATTTTCTCTCCCTTTCCTGTCATTTCCCCACATTTCATCATTTGTATTTTTAATTTTTTTATTCTACTTTTAAAATCCTTACCCAAGGACATGTTTCCACTGATTTTAGAGAGAGAGGAAGTGGTGGGGAAGAGAGAGAAAGAGAAAGAGAAACATCAATGTGAGAGAAACATCATTAGCTTCCTGTATGTACCCCAGTGGGGGATCGAACCCACAACCTAGGCATGTGCCCGACCCAAAGTCGAACTGGCAACCTTTCAGTGCACAGGATGATGCTCCAACCAATTGAGCCACGTGTCCAGGGCTGTCATTTGTGTTTTTAGCCCTTTATGCTTGCCTTTGCTGTGGCGTCACCTCCTTAGTGACAGGACCATGCCTTGCCTTTAGGTTCAAAGTAGCATGTTGGGGTGAATAAGCACAGTTTACATCGAAGGTAGACGGGGCTGCATACATACATGTTTCTACTTAAGCTTTTATTCCAAATGTCTCTATTGATGTACCATTTTCTTACTTTCCCCTTGATTTTTCATTAGAAAGCTCTTTCTCAGTTATTCATCCAATTATGTATCTAAAAACATGCTTTGCATCTCAGGTGCTTTCAGCTGGTGGCATGGCACCTTAAGGAGGTCTAAGCCCCAGGGTGGTGTTAGGCAGGCAGACAGACAGAACAGAAATTAACAACAATTCCAAGAGGTAAGACCTGAGATAAGACCATTTGAAGGAAAATTTTATTGTAATCTTTTAAACTATTTTATCTTGAAGTGCTAATACACATGAGGATGTATCTGTTTGGGTCTTTTGTATTCACACACAGAATATATACATACATACATATACATATGTACACAAATGTGCATATATAAAGAGTAAAAAGCTTTGGGGCTGTTTGAATATTAGTAGATGAAAGTTTGTTTATTATGCGACCTTGGCTTGATGAAGAATTTATGGAGACCAGGTTTGCGAATGTCAAGGCAGAGCTCTATGTTTTTGAGACAAAGGGAATCACAGGCCTGTGGGGGCAGTCGCTGACACAGCATAGCAGTTTTTGAAGTGTTTCTGTTTGGAAGTATAGAGGTACTGAAAGCTTGATTGCCATTTTTGTGTTCACCAACTGAAGCAAATATGAAATCCAGGCATGTGATTTAGTACACAAAAAAGTAATGGAGATAGAATTGATTATAATCCACCAGTAAGGCATAGAGTTTATTTTAGTCTAGAAGTTAATTTCCTTTTTGTGCCAACTAAACCTTTGTCTGCTGCACTTTTATTGTGACAAAAGTTGATCATAAGCCTGACTTGGCACCTCCACCAGAAAAGTGAGAGACAGCCCTTCTTCTGACGTTACCTATGCAAGTGCAACACCTGGTGACATTACTGACACACAGGGTGGGGGCCAAAGGAGCTGTGCAGTTGTTTGCATGGAAAATAGTACAATAATTGATAATAATAACACAAGAATGAACTCTGGGTGTCACAAGTGTAAACCTGCCTTTGCCCACCCTGTCTTCCTTGTAATTAAGAAGGGTAATACTTGTTTGGGAGGAAAATTTTGAGGTTCATTCATTTTTCCTCAAGACATTTTAAAATGGAGATATGTTCTAACTACATTAAAGGGTTTTTTAAACATGCATGTAGTAACTTTTGTCATCTTGACATGAATATTTTCATTTTTCTGGTTCTTTTGTGGTCCTTCTTCATATATGAATTTGTTTTACATCATTGGAATAATGTGTTTTCCCACTTATCATAAAGATGCTTCCATTGTTATGAAGTCTTTATTATTTATAGTTCCGGTTGCTACCTAATGGTTCATTTGCTACTTATTTTCTTATAAAACTTTTTTTAGTATTTGCTCTTTCTTTTCTACCTAGTTCATACTAGCATATTCCCACAATTATTTGAAAGTTGATGCAATTGTTAATTTTATTAGTTTTCTTCACACAATATTCTGAAACAACCCCTCGTGAATATACATTACATGTAGAGCGATATTTTACAAGGCAGTGAAAAGTACTGCATAATTTAGACTCAACAGCAGGAAAGCCCTGGACTACCTTGGGTCACTGTTAGTTCAGCCTTTAGGTTTTTTTCTCTAACATGCTATGTTGTGAGTCTGATTTAACTTCTGATTACCAGTTTTGGATTTCATATTTGTACATGGAAGTTAAAATAAATGCTACATAACATAAAGAAGTGAGGCTTATTTGATATTCCAACCCCAGCAATTTACATTAAAGCCATTCTCCTCTTCTTAAATAGCAAACTTTTATGAACTGTGTGACTGATATGGAATATTACTGTACTACATTAGAGCAGTGATATTGTAAATATTTAGATGTTTATTTTGTTTGTAACAGTTACCAGAAAATAGGATAAAACACAGAATGTACTAAAATTTGTTGGGGGAGGTGTTCAAGCATATTAGGTATCTGACTTTTGGCTTGTAACAATTTGAAATATAATGAGTAGTGTTTTGCTTCAAAGCTAACTAACATTCGTAGCCTTAAGTGTGTTACTCTTTCTCTGTGTATATGTGTGCACGCTTATTTAACCATAGTTGTGTCTCATGTCTGAATTCTAGTTCCTCCAATGTTTATAAATTTTGAAATCTTATCATTATGCTATTGCTCTTGTTGCTTGAATACATAAGGATTATATTTACAGTATTTATATCTCAAACTCTTTGTTACCATGTTGTTTTGGGGGTTTTAGGAACTTTAAAAAAGGTTATTTTCATGTGGAGTAAACTGGATATTATATCCTTTTCTATAGCTGAAGTGTTTTCTTTTCCCCATGCTAACTGTGGTATATATACAATAAAAACTAATTTTTTTTTAAAAAAAGGGAATTTGGGGCTCATTTATCTGTCTAGATTACCTTTATTTTTAAAAACATTGTATTTATTTATTTTTAGAGAGAGGGGAAGGGAGGGAGAGAAAGAGGTAGAGAAATATTTATCAGTTGCCTCTTGCACACCCCCAGCTGGGAGCCTGGCATGCAGTACAGGTATGTGCCCAGACCAGGAATCAGACCAGAATCCAACTGGCATCAAACCAGGAACTCTTCAGTTTGTGGGACAACGCACAGGCCACTGAACCACACCAGCCAGGCCACAATAGTAACTGTTTTGATGCCTTTGAGTGTTCTCTGACTCCTTCCCAGGGCTGTTCCCTCCTACTCACCTTTGCAAGTATGCAAATGTCAGGTCGGCCCTGGGTGTCACTGAAGATGCTTCATGGAAGTGTTCAGCACTGTTCGGTGTCTGATGTCTGGGTGGTGGAGAGGATGTGTTGAATTCAGATCAAATTTTTTATTTCTATTAGCTTCAGAAGAGAAGAAAAATGAGAATAGTACAAAGAGTAAAATGTTAGGTCTCTAAAAATTGCTTCAATGTAAAATTAAGTCTTTTAAAAAATAATTGGAATGATCATCTTGTAGTTTTACTTATTTCTCTCTTTGATATATTTCTTTAGGAACTTCCCAGAGTCCTTCTGCTTCATGAGCTGTCTGAGCAGGAAGGTGCATGGACCATACTCCCGCTGTTACCTCAGTACGTTTCCCTGGAGTGTACACATTCCTGACATTTCTTCCTGGACACTCGTAAGCTCCCTAGTTTTTGTATCAAGAGGGTGTGTTTTTTTTCTCAGAGCCAGTAAGTGAAATAAATTTGAACTCCCCTTTTTATGACTACTACATTAACCAGATTTTTGATAATCGATTCCTAACCATGAATGGCTTTTATTTTTAAATATCTTTCTTTCTTAAAAGAAAAAATATTTATATATATGATATTTATATTTGAAAGTTATCTGTCTTCTAAACTGGTGTCGTTATGGAGAGAATTCACTTTAGGAAGTCCAGCTATTGTATAAACCAGTATTATCTGGCTTTCCTATAAGCTGAAACTATACATTAAAGAAAAATATAAGGAAAAAATTCAGATTTCTTGCCATTTTATATGTCCTTCATCCATTTCTTGCCTTTCGGTTTTAAACCTTATTAAAAACTCTCTTGATAGAAGTGGTTACTATAGCCCATTTCCTTTTGTCAGCTTTTCTGTAACGTTTAGCAGAAATTCATCATGGATTTTCTTCTGTGAAGAAGAGACGAGAATACAAGTTCCAGAACTCTTAGAAACACTCAGAAGATATGACCCCTCAAAGGTGAATTCAGTTTCAACACCAGTATTTATCTTTTGGGGGAAAAGCTTAAGAGAAGATTTTTGACTAAGAGGTTTTTAAAATAAAACACTTACTTTAAAATGAAAAAGAATGGAATGATAGTTGAATATCTGGAAGCATTTTAAATCTCTTAAGTTTTTTAGCCTTCAGAGGGATGGAACTTATAATGAGCTGTTTATAAAGAGGAAGAAAAGTCCAATTATATGTGTTGGCAATTTCAGAAAGTTAAAAACTATAACCTAGGGTTAAGGAATGTTTAAGTTGGTTATTTCTCTTGATGAACAGTGAGCACACATCATTTTTGGTAAGGAGTGTTTTTGAGCACCACTCTGACAGCAGGGCAGGTCTACAAGGTCCTGACCACATGTGTGCACAGGGTAGCAGGGAAAGAACAGACTGTGACAGAAGCAGTCACAGGTTAAAGTGAAACCCCTTTTAGCAAAGGGAAGCAGGGGCTGCTGTTTGAAGCACAGGGATGGGCATCAGATTTAATCTGGGAGGGTCACGAGTAGAAGGGATATTTAATCTGAGTTGTGTAGGTTGAGTTAGGAGTTAATAGCAGAGAAAGAGTGTCTTCTAAGCAGTTATGCTTATGAAGGTCTGAAGGTGAGAAAGGATGCATCTTAACATTAGAAATTCACTGTTACTTTCATGTTTTCAAGTTTCATTTTGTGCAGATAGGGTGTAGCCATTGGATCTCGTTTACCTGTAATACAGGAGTATCAAACTCATTTTCACTGGGGGCCACATCAGCCTTGAGGTTGCCTTCAAAGGCTGAACATAATTTTAGTACTCTGTAAATGTAACTACTTCTTAACAGTTAAGTGAGAGCTCGGTGTTGATGCCAGGTAGAAACAAGGTGAAGGGATGGGTTTGGCCCTCAGGCCTTATTTTGCCACCTGTGCTTTAATCCCTAGCATGAGCATGAGCTGAATACTTAGTAGGTGGTCAATAAACACTTGTGAACAACTGAGTAAACAACTGATGTTGGCTTTCCTGCTGGGCTCCACTCAGTGCCTCTGAAGATTTAGAGGGCTGACTCAAGAGACATATCGAGAAAAATCAGGCTGCTCATTCCCTTGGAGAAGCCCTGAGTTCACGCTGACCACACTATAGAATCCTGTAAACTTGGAATAAACAAAACAGGCCCTTTCTAATACCACCAGATGCCTGCCCCACTCATGTTCTGATGCGAAGTCCAAACTGGGTTGGATTTAATGAGGACACCTGGAAGGAAAGGTGGCTTCTGACTGTCTGTTTGGTTTGTTGATGTAGACACCAAAAGTTGGGCGACAGTGAACATTAGGTATCTCAGGCACTGGAATGTTTGTTACTGTCATGAAATCACCATTTTCTGTGTTTTATAAATGCTTGAAGGGTTTATTATATTTTCTCTTCATACTTTTGCTTTCTGGGAAGTTACAGATATAATTGAATAGGAAGGTTTTTAGGTTAAAAAAATAATTCCTTCAAAGGACAAAAGAATTACGACCATGTCTCAGATGATGCTAACCAGCATCTAGGTACCTTTTGCCGTGCTCTGTGTAAAACATGTGTTAGGCTTTTATGTTTCCTTTTCACTAAAGAAAACTCCCTTATCTTTTTCAGAATGTAGGAGTTTTAATCTCCTCCTCGTGCTCATTTCACCTGGAGATTATTTTTCTATTATCCATAGCCCTAATTCTGTTCAGAAGATGGTGACTCACTGTGCTTTTTAATGAAAATTGGAATAAATTCAAAAGTTCACAGCAAGTTCATGAAAAGCAAGAACAGAGGCAAAATGAGATGGTTCCCCTCTTTTCTGAGCTCTGCCATGGGGTGGGGAATCTAGGATGCTTTATTTCCTTTGAAACTAGCATTTGGAATAAAAATTACACAATGTTGAAGTTAACACAAGCCTGTGGGTTTTTCCCTACCACTTGAAATTTTAGGGGAACAAGTATAAAGCAAGCCTGGCTTGAATATTGACACAAACTACACAAAAATAATATGATGCAATATGTTAGAGTATTAGTTATTTTGTTTGCTTCTGACATTTTTTCCTGCAATATCTTCCTCTCATTCTTACTAATACAAATTTATGCTATAGTACAGTATTTTAAATGGAACAATTTAATCTTTATTAAAATAAACTTTGTTCAATGCTTTTCTAGGTGATTTTATATAAATTTCCATATCTTGATGAAGTCTTTTTTTTCTCACTAGGTGCTTTTAATATGTTTGCATTTGCTAATGTTTCTTGACTTTTTTTATTTTTTCATACTTTTTAATAGCTATTTCTAATTTCATCTTATAAATGTGCCACAATTTCCATAAGCAGTTTCTCTTACTGGATGTTTAAGTTGATATTTATATATTTAGTTCTGCTTTTTCATTTTTAATGGAGGTGATACAGGCATGCTTGCAAGGAATAATTCTTTTCTCTTTCCAATTTTTTTATTGTTGTTCAAGTACAGTTGTCTCCAGTTTTCCCCCACAACTTCTCACAACTCCAGCCATCCCTACTTCTCATCCTTGATCCTACCCACTTTTGGTTTTGTCCATGTGTCCTTTATACATGTTCCTAAAAACCCTTCCCTCTATTTTCCCCATTAGCTCCTTACTCCTCCCCTCTGGTTACTATCAGTTTGTTCTTAATTTCAGAGTCTCTGGTTGCTTGTTTGTTTGCTTGCTTGCTTGCTTGTCTCTGGTTGCTTGCTTCTTTGTTTTGTTGATTAGGTTCCACTTATAAATGAGATCAAGTGATATTTGTCTTTCACCACCTGGCTTATTTCACTTAGCATAATGCTCTCTATTTCCATCCACACTGTCACAAAGGGTAAGAGTTTCTTCTTTCTTTCTGCTGCATAGAATTCCATTTTGTAAATGTACCATAGTTTTTGATCTCTTCATTTACTGATGGGCACTTAGGTTGCTTCCAACTCTTGGCTGTTGTAAATTGTGCTGCTATGAACATTGGGGTGCATAGGTTCTTTTGGATTGGTGTTTCAGTGTTCTTGGGGTATAATCCCAGCAGTGGAATTGCCAGGTCAAAAGGCAGTTCCATTTTTAGTTTTCTGAGGAAATACCATGCTGTTTTCCACAGTGGCTGCACCAGTCTGCATTCCCACCAACAGTGTGCTAGGGTTCGTTTTCCCCCACATCCTCTCCAACACTTGTTTGTTGATTTGTTTATGATGGTCATTCTGACTAGTGTGAAGTGGTATCTCACTGTGATTTTAATTTGCATCTCTCCGATGGATATGATGCTAAGTATCTTTTCATATGTCTCTGGGCCCTCCGTATGTTCTCCTTGGAGAAGTGTCTGTTCAAGTCCTTTGCCTATTTTTCAATTGGGTTGCTTATCTTCTTAGAATGAAGTTGTGTGAGTTCTTTATATATTTTGGAGATCAAACCCTTGTCTGAGGTAGTATCATTGGCAAATATACTTTTCCATATGGTTGCTTCTCTTTTCATTCTAATGCTTTTTTTTTTTTTGCTGTGCAGAAAGAAGCTTTTTATTTTGTGAGATACCATTTTTTATTCTTTCCTTTATGTCCCTTGCTCTAGGGGACATATTGGTGAAAATGTTGCTGTGTGGGATATCTGAGATTTTCCTGCCTATGTTTTCTCTAGGACTTTTATGGTCTTTTATCCACCTTGAATTTATTTTTGTGTATGGTGTAAGTTGGTGATTGAGTTTCATTTTTTGCATGTAGCTGTCCAGATCTCCAACAGCATTTGCTGAAGAAGCTGTTTTTACTCCATTTTATGTTGCTGTCCCTTTCGTGGAATATTAATTGGCCTTAGAGGTTTGGGTTTATTTCTGGGCTCTCTGTTTTGTTCCATTGGTTTATGTGTTTGCTCTTTTGCCAGTACCAGGCTGTTCTGATTAGAGTGGCCTTGTAATACAGTTTGATATCAGGTATTGTGATCCCTCCTACTTTGTTCTTTTTTCTCAAAATTGCAACTTCTATTCAGGGTCATTTATGGTTCCATATAAATTTTTGAAATATTTACTCTATACCTGTGAAATATACCATTGGTACTTTAATAGGGATTGTGTTGAGCCTGTGAATTGCTTTGGGTATTATGGACATTATGATAATGTTAATTATTTCAGTCCTCGAACATATACATACTTTCATTTGTGTCTTCTTTAATTTCTTTCTTCAGTATTGTGCAGATTTCTGAATACAGGTCTTTTACCTCCTTGGTTAGGTTTATTGCTAGGTAGTTTATTTTTCTTGTTGCTATATTAAATGGTGTTTTTCCCTGATTTCTGTTTCTGATATTTCATTGTTGGTGTACAAAAGTGCCTTTGATTTCTGAATATCGACCTTGTATCCCACTGTTTTGCCAAATTTACTTATTAGTTGAGTAGTTTTTTGATGGGGTCTATAGGATTTTCTATGTATACTATCATGTTTTGCTTCCTCCTTTCCAACTGGAATGCCTTTTATATCCTTTTCTTGTCTTATTGCTGTGGCTAGCACTTCCAATACTATGTTGATTAGGAGTGGTGAGAGCAGATATCTGTGCTTTGTTCCTGATCTTAGTGGGAAAGCTTTTAATTTTTGCCCATTGAGCGTATGATGTTGGCTGTAGGTCTCTTGTATGAGGGTACTAATAGAAGTGTCCAAGTTATTTTTTATAGTTGATCTGGATTATAATTGCCTTTATTAGGAAGGCATTAAAAACATTAAGAAATTTGGGGAGTGCCTCTTTTCACATAATCTATATTAATGTGTCTAAGTAGTTTATACTATAGTTCACAACAAGAATATTGACTAACAATCTTATATACTAGATAATAGTGGAAGACTGCCTTTAGGAGTTAAAACATAAAAAATATATTCTACATAAAATCATGTTCAGAAAAGGAGATCATAACAATGAAAGATTAGTGAGGAAGAGGCTAAAATATACCAAAATGTTTATTTTTTAAAATAACCAATACTGACATGGTATGCTAAATGTGATGATTTTCATGTTCATAATTGTTTAGTAGTTTGATAAAGTGATTTTATCACTTTTACCTATATTTTATCTATATTATTGATTTTTTTGAATGTTGAATTTTTTATCTCAAGCTGAGGCCATTTGTCTTGTAATTATTCCACTTGCCCAGTAATGACTTAACATGTTCATAAAGTATCAAGAAGAAAAATTATCAGGTGGAGGAACTGTTACCCTAAACATATAGGCTATGTTGATGGCTTTCACACAGTTCCTCTGTGACCTGTTGGTGAACGGACCACAACTAAGACTCTAGGTGGTATCTGGAACACAACCGCAGCAGAAGGCAGCTCTTAAGAAATAGTACTGTATCCCTCCTTCTTTTATTTTCTGATAAGAAATATGGAGTGAGGTGGTGATGTTGGAAAAGAAAGAACATGTGTAAAGCTTTTAGAACTTAGGGTACTTGATTTAAATGATATGGTTTCGTTTGTTTCAAGGGGTGGTGGTGCCTTTAAAAGCTGTCTTGGGCTTGCTTCATTCATTTAACCAGAAACTAATGAATACCTAGTACATGTTAGGTGTTCTGAGATATAGCAGTGGATAACCGTCCTATCCAGAAGCAGGGGATATTCTTATTGCAGGGGAGGTAGCAATAAGCAAAAATGCAAATAATGTGTCAGATGATCATTAATGCTATGGAGAAAATAAAAAGAGAGTAAGAGGGATAGGGATAGACTGGGGCTGGGCTTACTGTTCTATGTAGGGTGTTCAGGGAGCACCTCACTGATCAGGCTACATTGGAGCAGAGTGTGAAGAAATTGAAGGACTGAACCATGTGCTTCTTGCTCACATATTAAAATGCCTACCCCAAACCTCTACTTATCCATCTAATAGGTACCTTAAATTCAACATGTTCAAAACTGAGTTCTTAATGATCCTATAAACCCCTCCCATCTTCATTTTTCCCCATCCCAGAAATGGCATCACCATCTATCCTGTTGCTCATATAAAAAAACCTAGGACTCATGACTGATTCCTCTTTTTCTCTCAACCCCATGTTGGCATGTCCAGTTGACTCTACCTCCAAAATACACCTCTCATCCATCTTCTCTCCCTGTTTAATACCACCAGTCAGGTTGAGGCTGTCATCATGTCTTGCCTTGACCATTATAGAGCCCCCTAGCTCATCTCCTGGTTTTTACTCTAGTCATCCTAATAATCTAGCCTTTCTGTAATTCAGATGATAATCATTTACCTGTATGGAAACTTGTAGTGGTTTCCCATTCCACCTGTGATAGTTTCACTAGATAGAGCATTTTCAGTTGGCTGAAGTTGTCTTCTGTCACTGTAAAGATATTGTTCCACTGTCTTTTGTATTCTATTTTTTTCTGTTGAAAAGTCTGCTGTGTGTCTTGTTTTGCTCTTTTGAAAGAAATGTGTGTTCCCCCCCGCCCCACAACTACTCTTAAGATGTTCAGTGTACGGTTTTTCAAACAACATATTACCTATCTATATGTAGTTTTATTTGTATTTATTTTGATGGGTGTTTATAGAGCTTCTTGAGTCTATGGCATGATGACTTTTTTCAGTTTTAGAAGATTATAAGGTTCTATTTCTACAAAAATGGATTGTTTCATTCTTTTTCTCCTTCTATTCTGGGTTTCTAATTTCATTTATTTTAGGCCTTTTCACTGTGTTCTGTATTGCTGTTATGCTCTTTTCTGTATTTTTTCTCCTTTTGGTTTCTTCTTCTTGTATTAGTCTGGATATTTTTTTTTTTTTTTTTTTTTACTGACTTGCCTTTCAGGTCACTAATCCTCTCTTGTGTCAAATATCCTCTTGAATTCCTAATTATTCAGTTTTGGAATTTACATTTGACTCTTGTTTATATATTCTGGTTCTTTGATAAATTTTTATATTTTTATGAATCAGTTATGTTTTGATTACTAAAAAATCTGATTTATCTGTGTGTCCCTTTTTTTCATTATGCTCTCTGTTTTTAGTGTGGTCTGTTTCTTCTCATGCCTGGTAATTTCTCACTAAATGTCAGATGCTTTATGTGAAAAACCAAAGAGGTTGTGGATGATACCCCTTCATACAGGAGGATTTAATGTTCTTTTGGGATGTAGGCCTTGTTTGGACAGGTCATGCCCTTACTCCTAAACCCCTTCTCCCCTGGCAGAGCCTAGACATCAGTCTGGGGCCCCCCTGCACCACTGCTGGAGTCTGTGTTCAGCTCTTCAGCTTTTCCACTGCTGCTTTCCACTTGCTCCTGGGTTTTTGTTTGGCTTTGGAATGGAAGGAAGCGTGCTTGTGGAAATTAGGGCTCACCTCACTGGGATCCTCTTAAGTCTCTACCTTTTTGGTAGTCTTCAGCTCCACCATCTGTCTTAGTCCAATGCGGCTGCAGAGTCCTCAGAGGCTGCCTTCCGTGGTGTGCTTCTCTCTGCTTTGGGAACAAGCAAATTCCTGAGGGTAAAAGGAGGTGAATATGGGGTTTCCATGGATGCATGCCCCTTTTCTCTGGGATATTAGGTCTCACATCCTATCTGTCTTTGTTGTTTTCTGATCCCTTAAACATTTTTCTTAAGTAATTTCTCCTGCTCTTTCACTTGTCCTCAGTGAGGGAGGAAGTAGGTCTTAGCCAGGCTATTCTGTTGTGGCCAGAAGGGGAGTCTTCTGTTGCATTTAGAATTAAGTCTGTGTTGTATTCCACTGGCATGTCAAACTCACTCTTGTCTTCTTCTGTGACTCTCTCTTATACCTAGCTTCCTCCCGCCCAGCATATTCAGCCACACTGCCTTGATTGTTATTCTCCAGATTTGTGCATGGCTGGTTCCTTGTTGCCACAGTACTCTTCAGTTCAGTGTCACCTCTTTCCAGGGTAGTCCCCCAGTCAGTCTGTTGTGTATTTTCATCACAGCACACTGCAGTCACTGTTTGAACTCACTTGATTTACTTGTTTGTTTTCTGTCTCCCCAGTATTGTGTAAGCTATGTTCCTGTCTGGTGTGGAATCAGCGCTAAATGCTAATTGATAACAATAAGAAATGTTAATGGACCAAATGAATAAAATAGGCAGTGATTGTAAAGGATTGTTCAAATTCTTTGTAAACCTCAGTGGGACATGAAGTAAACTGTTTTCCTTGCCTTAATAATATTTTGATATGGAATATTTTATAAAATACCACATTTTTATATTTATTGTACAATGACTAAATTGTTTTAATCCTGATGACATAATATTAAATTATTCTTTTTATGGACAAAGATCATGCTCTGTTCATTATGAGTATTAGTTATACTTTTGTTCAAAAATTAAATTATAAATTAAAAATTATAACTGTGCTAATTTCTATCACCTTGAATATTTAATTAAATAAAACTAATGATATGACTTTTTTTGGTGTTACATGAAATTTTTTTAAATGGTATTTTGTATCTTCATTTCACAGGACTGGTTTTTAGGAAAAGCATTACATGATGAAGAATCTACAATAATTCACCATTATGCCTTTTCTGAAAATCCTACAGTTTTTAAATATCCAGACTTTGCTGCTGGCTGGGCCCTTAGTATTCCACTTGTAAACAAGTAAGAATTTACTAAATTAAAAAAAAATTCACTGAGTATTACAACTGATGGATCTCAAATGGGTTTCAACCAGAGGCAGTGTGTGGCAGGGTGGGAAGGCCTGTGGGGGTCTTTTCTTCTGCCCCATCACCTGCTGGTCCTCTCGGTCTCATCTCTCAGCCTCTCTGTGCTTCCTCTTACTCACCTGCCAAATAAGGTGAGTAATAAATCGTGATGGTGAACACGCAATACAATTTACAGATGATATAGAATTGTACCCCTGAACCTTATATAATTTTGTTACCCAGAGTCACCCCAATAAGTTCAGTAAAAATTAAAAGAAACAAACAAAAATACATCGTGAAACTAAGGGAAGGTACATACCTGCTCTGAGAACTCTACCCGGAGGCATGTTATCACTTGTTGTTACAGACTGGTTGCAGTAGCTGTGGCTTTGATTGTCAGTAAGAAGGTGAATCAGTAACACGCCTGGGATTGGTAGTGGAGTACTTGTCAGGTGTGTGGGTGTGCACGTTTAAACAAGGGCCCACGGAGGGACAGGAGGCAGTACACATACTCATACCTAGTTGTTTGTGTGTATATTGCAATAATGCTTTCTTTTTTAAAATTTTTATTTACTTATCTTTAGAGGGGAAGGGAAGGAGAGAGGGAGAGAAATATCAGTGTACGGTTGCCTCTCATGTGTCCCCTGCTGGGAACTAGCCTGCAACCCAGGCATGTGCCCTGACTGGGAATCGAACCGTGACACTCTGGTTCATAGGCCCATGCTCAATCCACTGAGCTGCACCAGCCAGGCAGGGTGCAATAATGCTTTCTTAAATGTGGAAAATGAAAATATTTAAGTTGTAATTCAGGAGAAATGTGGTAGTTGACAGGCCCTTTTTTAATATGAATACTTCAGATTAATTATTATGTGTTTTTATTTTCTAAGGAATGGAAAGTTGATGAAATAATTGTGGACTTTATGTCTTCAACAGTGAAATGGTTTCTGTAATTTCTTACATGTGGTGTGTTGTTACTAGCTTCCTAGCTCATTGTAGATGCTCAGGTAGAAGATACCTTGTCATGAGTGGCTGGTGAAACTGCTTGACAACTCCCTTACACTTGAAAGTTCCTTACAATGTGATCCTCTCCTTGACAAACTAGTATCAAGCTTAACAGTATTTTCTGTTGAGAATCCCAAAATGACATCAGCAGCACCCTTGCTGCTAGCAAACAGCCACATGAGGCAGGTTGCATCAGGTAGATGTAGTGTGGAAAATTCTCTTTGGGAATGGAGTTACATGGGGAGGGAGACAGTGCCTGGGGTCCACAGGCTTGAGAGGTCAGTACAAAGGAGGGGTCCTTTGGGCGTTAGCAACTGAGATGGTGGCTTCCTAATATAGCAGTCCCCTGAGGGAGGCAGAGGCCACAACTCCTTGAGCATGCATTTCTGTGGTATGAATGTGAGGATTGTTCTGGCAGTCTCAGTCCAGAGTCTCATCTTGTGACTTTCCAGTGATCCTGTGAGCCAGATCTATGTGCCTTTACAAATGCACTTTGTGCTTAAACTGGCCATAGTACATTCTGTTATCTTCAGCTAAAAACCTTGACCCTTGTGCATCATTCTGAGATAGCCAAGCAAGGGCACCCTGCTCCCAGCCTGTACCAGGCATGTCTAGCAGGACCTACACAGTTTCCCTACTCCATTTTTAGATGGGCTGGGCCAGAGCGGAGGAGAACTGAGAAGAGACAGTTGTTTTTCTCTTGGGAGATGGGCAAGTACAGCTATAACCTATCCTGTGATGTTCACTGACAACAAACAGCGCCTCCTTCCCCCAGAGCCAAGGAGGAAACCAGCAGACCCAGGAAGACCCTGTACAGTAAGCCTGGGATTATCATCATCTCTCTAAAGCCACGATAATCCCTTTCTCTAAACTGTGGATGCCTTTTCCTGGATGCAGACCCTCCTAGTCTAAAGTATTTCACCTTTCTTCATCGCAGTTTCCCCATCTTGCAAGGGCCTTCTGGGAGACCTTTTTTGATGTTGAATGCAGTCCACCTTTTACTGAGTTAAGTGTAAGAAACACCTACCTTTTCTTTTTAAACCAGGTGGATGGCAGTGGTGTGTCCTGAGCATGCCTACGACTGCCACTATCCTCACACAGGACAGCTTCCTCTGGTCTTGTTGCTCGCCATGCCGGCATCAAGGCATTACCTGGTCTGTGGAACTTCTAGGTCTGTGACTCTGCCCTCCTGCCACATTGCATTGCTCAGATGTGTAGCAGCCACCAAGCACTGGCAGGTTCCATGGCCTATCTCCTAACTGCTTCATGTGCCCATGTGACCAGGTGCCTGGGGCTTTGTGAACTGGGGCTGCAGATTGTGCACTAGCTGAGATGTTTGTCTTGTTCAGGGGACACTTTTTACAGACTGCCTGGCATTCTGTAGAGGTAGTCCCAGAGGCACCTCCTTCTCTTCCTTGTGTTTATGAAGTCACTGAAAACGTCTGTTCACAAGTGACAGCTCACTCTCTTCTGGACAAGCTTAACCATATTTTCTGCTGAGATTTGGGAGAAAACTGAGGGCCTCAGCTCATTGCTATAGGATGTGTACGTACCTACAGCTAAGGGAACTGGGGCCAAAAGACTAAATCTGCATGAGTTCAGAAAATTTCTGGTTCTTGCCCCAGAACTGCAGCGGGCTAGAGGAAGGAGGTACCAGTTAACCTTCCTTACTGTGTCGTCTGCTTTCACAGCTCTGAACAATTAATGACAAACCGTACAATGTTTGTAGTTAATTCAGATCCATGGTCTTCTCCCTGCCTGTCCTCCCTTTCTGCTGCCAGAAAAAGTAAAACAAAATAAAAATGCAGATTCTACCATAGGACCAAATGCAAAATTTTGCTTACCAGGGGTATCCAACCTATTGGTATCTCTGGGCCACACTGGAATAAGAAGAGTTGCCTTGGGCCACACATTAAATATATTGTGACACATAGTCACAAAAAATCATAATGTTTTAAGTAAATTTATGATTTTGTATTGGGTGGCATTCATAGTCATCCTGAGCTGTATGTGACCCATGGGCCACAGGTCGAACACGCCTGTTCCTTTGTCTCGTGATACAAGCACTGATCAAACAGATAATATAACCCATCTAGCATAGAAGCTATCTGTGGCCAAGATACAGCTAATAGGATATTCTATTTTGTTTTTCAAGAAATTGCTATTACACTTAGGACTAAAGGAGGCATAAGTACCAATTACCTCCATCAAGTACAAAACCGGATCTTTCCCATTGGTTTTTCCCATTCAGAAGCTAATGTGCTGACTTCATTCCCTTCTATTACTGGGAGCTACATCCGTTCGCAGGCTGGATGGAGGACATATTATTACTGTCCTTGGCAAGTGGGGTTGGTGGTTGGTTAGTGCAAGAGATTAACAGTGTTGCCGAGGACCCTGGCTCTCTGTCTCCTGCTGAGTATACAACATCAGTTCATCCTGAATCTGGTTTCCCTTTGTGGTTTCAGGACAGTGAGGGCTATATGTATTTTATTTATTGCCAGGAGTAGAGAATTTCTCTAACCATAGAAGGTAAGTGCTTGTCCTCAGTCTTTAGTTGGACCTTGTCCAAGTGAGGTTGGTTGGATCACCTTTAAGCATGTACCAACTCCTGGACCAGTAACAGTTGCCATTGCCAGGTCATTTCAGTGCTTCAGTTGGGATCAAACTAGTTCTGACCCTGGAGTTTGTTTGTTTGTTTGTTTGTTTGTTTATTTATTTATTTATGTAATATATTTTATTGATTATGCTATTACAGTTGTCCCATTTTCCCCCCTTCATTCCCCTCCATCCTGCACACCCTCTCCCACCCACATTCCCTCCCTTTCGTTCATGTCCGTGTATCATAAGTTCTTTAGCTTCTACATTTCCCATACTATTCTTGCCCCCCCATCTATTTTCTACCTCCTGTGTATGCTACTTATTCTCTGTACCTTTGTCCCCCTTCTCCTCCTCCCACTCCCCTGTTGCTAACCCTCCATGTGATCTCCATTCTGTGATTCTGTTTCTGTTCCTTTTCTAGTTGTTTGCTTAGTTTGCTTCTGTTTTAGGTGTCGTTGTTAATAATTGTGAGTTTGTTGTCATTTTACTGTTTATAATTTTTATCTTCTTTTTCTTAAATAAGTCCCTTTAACATTTCATAGAATAATGGCTTGGTGATGATGAACTCCTTTAACTTGAACTTATTTCAGAAGCACTTTATCTGTCCTTCCATTCTAAATGAAAGCTTTGCTGGGTAGAGCAATCTTGGATGTAGGTCCTGGCCTTTCATGACCTGGAATACTTCTTTCCAGCAAGGTTTCTTTTGAGAAAGCAGCTGATAGTCTGATGGGAACTCCTTTGTAGGTGATTGTCCTCTTATCTCTTGCTGCTTTTAGAATTCTCTCCTTCATTTTAATTGTGGCTAATGTAATTATGATGTGCCTTGGTGTGCACTTCCTTGGGTCCACCTTCTTTGGGACTCTCTGAGCTTCCTTTGCCAGACTGGGGAAGTTTTTCTTTATTATTTGTTCAGATAAGTTTTCCACTTGTTGCTGTTCCTCTTCCCCTTCTGGTACCCCTATAATTCAGATGTTGGAACATTTAAAGATGTCCTGGAGGTTCCTAAGCCTCTCCTTATTTTTTTTGAATTCTCGTTTCTTCCTTCTTTTCTCTTTGGTTGTTTCTTTCTTCCTTCTGGTCTACTCCATTGATTTGAGTCCCAGTTTTCTTCTCATCACTATTGGTTCCCTGTGCATTTTCCTTCATTTAACTTAGTGTAGCCTTCATTTTTTCATCTAATTTGTGACCCAAATCAACCAGTTCTGTGAGCATCCTGATCACCAGTGTTTTGAACTGTGCATCTGATAGGTTGGCTATCTCTTCATCGCTTACATTTATTGGCTCTGGGGCTTTGATCTGTTCTTCTGTTTGAGGAATTTGTTTTTCGGTCTGGTTGTACCTGTTACTTATGAGGGGTGGGGCCTTAGATGTTCACCAGGGTGGGGCAACCCAGTTGCTGGGCTATGATGCTGTATGTGGGGGTGGGGTCAGAGGGAACAGGGGCACTTGCTCCACTCTTTCTTGGATTTCAGTCCCTTCTGCCACTTTTAATGAGCAAATTGGGCCTTTCTGGTGCTGGTTCCTGGGTGGGTGAGCTTGTGTACATTCTAGGACCCAGTGGGTCTCTCCAACAAACTGTCCTGTGAGGCTGGGAGTCTCTCCTGGCACCTCAACCCCCACAAGTGTTTTCAATCAGTGCTTTATTTCCTGGCCCTGGGTCCCTGGGTTGCGAGGTCTGTCTCACTGCTGGTTTTCAACTGGTTTGTCTTCTAGAATATGTGACCTTGGTCAGCCAGCCGCCTTGTGCATCTCACTGGGTTTGCTTGTTGCCACCTCGCACCTGGAGTCTCCCAGCTGCTGCCTGCACACCTGGGGTCTGCCAACTGCTGCCTGCATGCACGGGTCCGCTAGCCACTGCTTTTTTCTGCCAAGACCCCCTCTCTGCCCATCACCCACTCAGTTCCTCTTACCGGTCTGGATGAATGGTTGTTGGACTTCATACAGTTCAATTTTTTGTCAGTTCTGGGTGCTTTTTGTTTCTAAATTTTTGTTGTCCTTAATTTTGGTTGTGCGAGGAGGCACAGTGTGTCTACCTATGCCTCCATCTTGGCCCTGGAGTCCATTTATTTGGCTCAAGAATTAATCGCAACTGGAATCTCTTGGGCAAAAGGAAGGGGAAGCTTTATCGCATAGGTGATTGACAGCACCCTCCATAGGAATGCTGATTCCCTGTCGCCTTTTCTTGACTTTCTAGCCCTCTCAGTAGGTAGGACAACAATTTACAGTTACAGTTATGAAAGTATTTCTCCAGTTGAAATCACTAGAAAAAACTTAAAGAGGGTTCATGACACACTTAGACTGTTTACCACCAAAACTCTTATTTGTCCTAGCAGTGTCACATGAGTGAGGTTTGAAATAACACGGCTCAACATTTCCTGATGCTCCATCTATGGGTTCTTCCAACAGCAGTATCAGTAAGAACATGCTTACATCTTCAGAGAAACTCATCAATTTCTAATAAGGTGATTGCTTCATTTAGTGTTACTACAGAACACTGTTACTCCTCTCCATTGTTTTCCCCTGGCAAACCTTACCTAGATTTTCTTCCTCAGCTCACTCTATTGACTTGGCTCACAAGTGGGACTAGAAAGGTGTCGTAGGAAGATTTCTTGGAATGGAGTTGAAGAGGTTCTATGTCCGTTTTAGTTTCCAGTCTAGGTGGTTGTGTCATTGGGGCTTGACTTAATGCCTTCTAAAAATAGGAACGCTGAATATCAAATGCCATGTTTGATAGGAACTGAGTATTTAATGAGGAAATATTTAATCTAACCCATGGAAACTTCTGGCCCTAATTGTTTTTGGCATTATTGGTTACTGAAATTAGCATTTAAAAACCCTTGTGCTGTCTTGCTTAATGTATAGAAAAATGAAAACTAATTCCCACCACTAGGACTAGCCTTTTAAGTTAGGGGGACACCCTGCACATTTTAGGATTTGAACACATTTGCAAAGTGACTGACTGACTTGAGCTCAGGGTGTCACATGGTCACATGAGGTTACCCATCAATATTAAGTTCGTGATGTTGGGTGATGTTGAGGTAACCATTACTCCGTAGGCTGCTAGACACAGCCACACAAAAATGTCAGTGTGTATATTATTTGTCCATCTTACAGGTGCTTAATCCATGGTCCTCACTTTCCTCTTTGAAGTTCCCTGCAAAGAGAAAGTTTCACAGATTGAATGAGAAACTTAAAGACAAAGAGTTGACAGCACATACACTAACACTCTGAGGTGGTTAGTGTCAAGAAGGGGCATCCGAAATGTGATGATCTCACAATGGGTGTCAACGTGCATTGGATTCCGTTCAAAGCTGTGTGTCCCTTGCTGGTGGCACTAAGGTGTAACTGTTCTCTGTCTTCAGAGTCTGAGTGTGGTCTGATCAGATTTTGGAGGCACTTGATATGATTCCAAATTTCAAAGTTACTTTGTTATGGTTTATTTATAAAAATGGGCTCCAAGTGAGAATTGGACAAGATTCCATGCCAGGGCAGATCCCCCCCCCCACATTTAATGTATATTGGAGTGTATCTGAGAACATGGTCTCTTCACGTCCCCTCACCCACTCCAGCTCAGAGATCTGTGGGCAGATGCCAAGCAGGACTATAACAGAGATTGCATGGGGCTTCCTTTGGAGCTACCTGCTGCCAGCTATGTTAATATCAACATGAGACAGATGCTTTATAACTAAACCTAAATTGTCACTCTTCTTTATCTTTCCTTGAGTAAAAAAGTGCATTTTTTGAAGAAATCTTTGTGGCTCAACCAGGCTAAAAAGTCAGTAAAGGGATTTTTGAAACTTACTACTATTGGTTGGCCAAAAAGTTCATTTGTTTTCTTCATAAGATGGCTCTACTAGTGCTTAGTTGTCTTTAACTTCATGTGAAATAATTTTGTTAGATTGTATTGTGACAGCTGTAATATCAGTGTGCATTAAAAATACTTATCAAAATTGGTGAATTTTTGCGTAGCCATTTTAATACTGAAGATGGAAAAAATAAGCAACATTTTATCATATTATGCTTTATTATTTCAAGAAAGATAAAAACACAACTGAAATGCAAAGAAAGATTTATGCAATTTATGGAGAAGGTGCTGTGACTGACTAATCAGATGTGTCAGAAGTGGTTTGTGAAGTTTTGTGCCGGAGATTTCTCCCTGGACAATGCTCCATAGTCTGGTAGACCAGTTGAAGTTGATAACAGTCAAATCGAGACATTAATTGAGAACAGTATAGCTAATATACTCAAAATAGCCAAATCAAGCATTGAAAATTATTTACACCAGTTTGGTTATGTTAATTGGTTTGATGTTTGGGTTCCACATAAGTTAAGCAAAAAACCCCTTCTTGACCACCTGTATTTTCGCATGCAATTCTCTACTTAAACATAATGAAAATGTTTTCTTTTTAAAACATTGTGATGAATGGCAAAAATTGGATATTTTACAACAATATAGAAAGGAAGAGATCGTGGGGCAAGTGAAATGAACCACCACCACCAACCCCAAAGGTCGGTCTTCATCCAGAGATGGTGATGGTATATATATATAGTGGGATTGGAAGGGAGTCCTCTATTATGAGATCCTTTCAGAAAACCCAACTATCAATTCCAACAAGTACTGCTCCCAATTAGACCAACTGGAAGCAGCACTCGATGAAAAGTGTCTGGAATTAGTTAACAGAAAACTCATAGTCTTCCATTAATGCAAGACCATATGCTTCTTTGACAACCAGGCAAAAACTCTTACAGCTTGGCTGGGAATTTCTGATTCATTCACTGTATTCACCAGACACTGCACCTTCAGATTTTCATTTATTTTGGTCTTTAATGGAAAAAATTTCAATTTCCTGGAAGACTGCAAAAGACACTTGGAACAGTTCTTTGCTCAAAAAGATAAAAAGTTTTGGAAAGATGGAATTATGAAGTTGCTTGAAAGGTAGCAGAAGATAGTGGAACAAAATGGTGAATATGTTGTTCAATGAAGTTATAGGTGAAAATGAAAAATGTGTCTTTTATTTTTACTTAAAAGCGGAACAGACTTTTTGCTAACCAAATACTTTTTTTTTTTTTACAAAATCACTGTTGTTTCTTTATAGTTAAAATGTGTTAGGAGGTTTGTAATTGGAACTGATGGTCTCATCTCTAGCCCTGTAATGAATATAGAACCATGTGGAATTCCACTGGTCTTGGTAACTATGTAGTTCTACCTCACTCAGCTTGGAATCAAGGAATATACCACTTTCGTCTATTGAGGCTGCTCCCTGAGTGCTCACTGTGGCCAGGCACAGCGGGCAGTGCTGGCAGGCACAGAAGGTGTAGGCAGAGAAGGACATGTGCACAACAGATTGTGATGCATGTGGCAAAGCCAATGGGGCTGTGCTTCCTCCTCTGGGAGCAAAGGAAGTTTTCATTTATCCCGCTGGGTAAGTCTGGAAAGGTTTCACAAAGAAGGTGGCCTTGACTTGGTCTTGAAGCAAGTTTGCTGAGTCAGAGTGGGTGAGGGCACTGGAGCAGCTGTGTAGGAGAGGAGAGAAGGCAGGCCCGTGCCCTGTGTGGGGCAGGTGGTGCTGTGGGCTGGGCATGGCTGAGGGGCATGGAGCGGCTAGTGTGCCTGCGTGTGGTGGCCTGGGGCTTGATTCTGCATTGAGAGGAACCATGGGAGATTTTCTAAGCAAGAAAATGGCACATCCTCTCTTCCACTAAAATCTCCACCAATTGTAATTCACTCGAGTTATTAAAAGTTGGAGAGTGAAAGCACGGTTGTTTTCCCTCTGTCATTATTTAGTGTAAGGATTATCAGAGTCAACAAACTTCAGGACTTTTTTTAGAAGACATTTAATGTGTTCTATTATATTGCATTGTTTTGTAATGCATTTTATGTTATTTGCCAGGTGCTAGAATAGCCTTGCATTGTGACAGTCCTTAGCCTCAAGGAAATTGAACTCCTAGTTTTGTCTTAACATTTGTACTTTTGCCTGCTTTCAAACATGGAAAAATCTCAGGAATGATTTATTCTTGTTTATGCTTCTTCTGGTTTAAGAAAAACCTTCAAATTGTCTTTCTTTTCTAGGCTTACCAAGAGGTTAAAGAGTGAGTCCCTGAGGTCCGACTTTACAATAGATTTGAAACATGAGGTATGTCATGGTGTGTTTGGGTAAAAGTCTCTGTAATCGGGAATTCACGTCTTCGGATAGAAGTGGTGTTCTGTATTCCCCAGGAGTGTGCTCCCTCCACCCCCGTGCCTCATCTCCCTACCAAGGTCATGTGGTTCCCTGAATCCAGATGAAGTTGTGTCTGCGGGCACTTGCTCAGCAGCCCACTTGTTTGTGGTTCTGTGGTTTTTCTGGGAGTGTTCCTGCTCCTTTGGAACCTTATCCTGCTATCCTCTGAGTCCTGCACTGAAGTCTTCAGTCAGGACTTGCACTTGCTTTTGCTGTACTGATGTGGGGCCACTTTAAATTGCTCTGGAGGTGTTTGGACACCATAAGTGGTATAATTAGGGATGCCTAGCTTTTGGTTACAAAACCCAGAGGAGATTTGGAGATAGTTTCTGCTCCATTTAGCTCCAGAGCCCCAGCTCAGTGTGGGGTTTTTGTTAGACACCCCACCTCAGTGGGCTATAGGCTGTATGCTCGTGAGTCCAGTCAGAAACCCAGCATCGCCAGGGCTCCGCTGACACCTGCTGAGGAGGGCTGCCCTGGGTGCCTTCTTCCCAGGTTCTCACTCTTACATTTTGTCCTCACAAGCTCTACTTTTGTGCAAATATAGAATTCATTAACAATGATTTTAAAGACATTTTGTCAGCATTTTTAGATGTTTTCCACAAGTCAAATATGTCATTACCATACTACAAGAAACCAGTCATGATAACATTTTCTTGCATCTTTCTCTGTAATGTTTGAGAATCCTCAAAATAGTTTCCCTACAATTGCTTAGGACAACTGCTTAGGACAACTTTGGAATTTTTTTGCAAGTCAGAATATTGATTCTTAGTTAACTTTTTTTAGTAAAAGGTAAATCAAACCACATGGAATTACTCTTTTTGTAAGCAAAGAAGGTGTTGAATACTGACAAACTGACATGCTCCAGTCTAGTAGTGTCCGTAGAAGCTGCGGTTGCTCTTCCTTGAGCTGTTTCCTAGCTTCTCCTACTTGTGAGTTGGTTAAGTTCCGTCACTCACAGCTGGTTTCCGGTCGTCGAACAGATTGCGCTCTACATCTGGGACAGAGGTGACGGGCCTCCTCTCACTCCAGTGCCTGAGTTGTGTACAGACAGCGTGGACGCCCACTGTGCCACCACATCCCACTCTTTTCTGCCCCTCTGTGTAAGTAGTAGAAGAAAAACTTCCTTGCACATCAAAGGAAAACGTACTTGCTGTGCGTGTGTTGTTCTGCACCTTGCATACTGAAAAAAATCAACCTTTGCTACGTGCCAGGTAGGGAGCATATACATTTTTATGTTAATAACGGCCCTCCAAGGTAAGCACTGTCCTCACCCCAGTTGACAAAGGAGGAGAGCGTGGCACTGAGGACTGCTTGTGCACAGTTACACAGTGAGTGGCCGGGGAGCGAGGGTGTGACCTGCACCGTCTCCCTCTAGAGCCTCACACAGCATTGCCTGCCATGGCCTTTGGAGCCACTTCTTTTGTTGATGATCTCGCATGTGTTTATCGGAATACCTGTTTTACTTCCTAGAAAGGCAATTTCAAACATTTCCCATGATACCCAAACCTCTCCTCAAGCCCATCTCATTATTCTCTTACTTGGTGACCTCACTGCCATCTCATCTGAGACTGTCCAGACCCCCTTAACTCTAGTTTTGGCAGACCCTCAGTCCAATCACCAGGAAGAGCTTGAAGACCACTGAAACTCACTGACTTGTTACCAGTTCTTCCTCATAAGGAAACGTTTACTCACCACCTCATGTGTTGTCTGCTATCCTCAAGTCAGTCTGTGTGTTGCATTTTTGAAAGATGTTTATATATTCACATACACACAGCACAATGGGAAGAATGTGTAACATTTGGTTCATTGTAGATAGTATGCTTGCTTGTCCTTTAATGCTTGCTCTGGGAACCTGGGGAGGAGAGGGCGACCTCCTAGTGCCTTGAGTAACATGACAAAGCTGTAGTTAGATTTTACTGAAGGCCTAAGACTGGTGATGGAGCGGTCGGAACACCTACTATGTAGTCCATGGCCTTGGGACTGGGTTGTCCACAGATCTCTCTGTGCACCTTTCATCTGAGTGATCAGCTTGCTTGGAGCCAGCTCAGGGTTCTTCCACCTGCTCCTGCCCCACACAGGTGTGGGAAGTAATCCTGCTTTTGGCAGAGGACAGAACATCACTGAAACCTAGACAATAAGAGGCCATAAAAATACTTTAAAGATCAAAGTAAGGCCAGGTTCACCAGATGGGGTCATCCCTTATTTTACACTAAGACAGCCCCTTAGTTCTCACCTTTTGTCAAAATCTTCACCAGCTGGAAAAAGGAAAGGGAAGGTAGCTGACATTTATGGGGCACCTATGATGTGCTTAATAAAAGCAGTTTTACTGGCGAGTATTTTTCCTGCTTTTTAAGTGGCAGACTGAGGTTCAGAGAGCTGAAGGGACTTGTCCAGACGACACAGTGTGTGAGTGGCAGAGCTGGGGTGCCAGTCCCAGTCTGGATGACATCAAAAGCTTTGTTGTCAGTGGAGCTACAGTCTCTTTTCCCCCTAAAACTTGACCCTGGAAACAGGTTCAGTGTGCCCGATACTGACTGGTGCACTTGACCTTTAGAACATATGAGATCTGGTTTGGGTATGAAGTTAAGATAACATGGGCTCATATACATGTATATTTTCCCTTGTTTTTTTTAGGGGAATCCAGTGAAGAAGGAGGATATTTTTGTTGCAGTAAAAACGTGCAAGAAATTTCACAGTGAAAGAAGTATGTTTTGGGTTATTCATTTTTATTGACCTTTTAGAATCTGAATTGCCTTAAAAAATACAAACCAGATATAAACTCAAGAAAAGGATATTGAAACATATATTATTGAAGTTAAGGCATTAATTAATCGGTATTCTTTATCATACCACTTCAATCACAGAGATAAATTAGAAAGGACAATTTTGTATTAAAATTTGGGTGGTCCTAACCCTTCTAAATACTGTTTAAGGCAGCATTTTAAATTGGAAATGGACAAGCTTGGCTGTTGCAATCTTGGAGACAGTATGTGAATAACAATGCATTTTGCAAAACAATGTCCTGTTATGTCCAGCCACCGAACCAAATAAGAATATAGAGGGGATTTTTCACATTTTTCAAGGTGAAAAAATGCCGAGAAGGAATGTTTTCTTGAAAGCTGATTCTTCTTTTTATATTTTTTTCAAATGCAAACATCAGAACTTTTAAGATAGGTGTTTTCAGAAAAAGTTGCCTTGTAAGCAGTAGCAATGTTCCCTCCTTAAGGGAATCCTGGCATGCAGATGGATGTTTTCATTCAAGTTTTCCATGTCCTTATGGAATTCTAAGACATTGACATCAATTACAATATGATTATAATCAACAATATCTGAAAAATATGGTAACTATAAATTTTTACATTTATCTAAAATAGTCATCTTAAGTTCCAGGTCATATTAAATCAGCCTAAATGAATATAGCATTCATTATATAAGGAGTCCCAAAATACTATTAAAATCAATATAGCATTTAAATTTTTCATTTATCACAAATTTAACCTAGATTTAATATTCCTTTGCTTTCTTCATAATCTGGAAGGGCTTTGTGGGACAATTCTTGATAAATATACTTTCACAAAAAGTATAAAGGGAAATGAACTAGGTTGCTTTTTATTTTTTAACAGCAAGCAGAAGTATTTGAATTAATTTACTTTACTTGGATCTTGAAGCTATGCTTAGAGTAGTATTGCTTGCACTGTATTATGTAAGAAACGATGGTGGTGTTTTCTCTTTTGAAATACATTTTTCAGGAGACAGTAGGCACTAAAATTAGGGATTATCCCTGTCAAATTTTTAATATTCTGTAGAAATGAAAAAGTTGTAGTTTTTAATTTAGTAACTTTAAATACTGTAGTTTATTGTTCTCTTATTTGCATAAGGTTGAGTAATCTTTTAAGATATCCATCGAATGCTTTATATTTTAATTTTGAGTCAAAGTCTTTAAAAATTAAAGAATCTTAAAAGTCTGTAAGGCGCATTAAAACCAAACCCCCCAAAGCCAGTTGTACTGATGTCTTGCTGTTAATTTGGATCTGGATGGTCCATGAAGCCTAAAAACCTTTTATGGGGCTTTCACAGGTGGATTCTGTGGCATGCCTTCTTTAAACTTGGACTTGTCTGTTTGAGAGGACAGTCTAAGGCAGCAGGATTTTAGGGACTTTGGTGCCCATTAGGCTGGATGGAGTGAAGCCTGACAGGGCCTGGGCTCTGCCTCCTTCTGAAAGTCTAGTCTAGCCACCAGTTGGTGCAAAGAATTACCTCATAATCATATTACTTACAATGACAGTGCCACAGTAACTGCTTCTGACTGCTCTTTTTCACATTTTTTGGTGTGTTTTTCACATACATTCTTTCATCTCGTGTTGACAATTCCTTACAATGTGGTAGCTAATGTTATTCACTTAATATTGTAGAGAAAGCTGAGTATGGTCGAGAACAGCTGGCCCAAGTTCCTGTGGTCTGTTGAGTAGGGCAGCTGGAGCTTGGGTTTTCTGGCTCCAAATTCCCTCTTCTGCCTGCCACAGCACGGCTACACTGTGATCTCCTTGGATGCATTCCAAACCTAACACTTGATAAATAGTATTTGATATTTGTGTTGATGCTGAAGGTCAGGTTTGGCCTGGCCAGATGCTGTGAAAGTGGTCTTTATTTTCAGTAGCAGTGGGGATATCTGGGAACTGAAATCCACAGATCTTAAATACACATGGAGCAGGGAATTTAGACTCTTATCCCATCAAGCATATTACCACTGTAGTCAAGCAGAATACATGGAGTAAGGGTGTCTTTTTCTTCTTTTTTCTTGCCCTATCTACCTGTGGTAGAAACACTTGAAGTTACAAAGGCCAAGTGACAATGAAGGAAAATAAAACTTAGACTGTTTGTATGACAAAATGAGAGTAGGCTGTACTGTTAGTGAGTTTTCTGATGGCAAGTTGTCTCTTGTAGTTATGCTGCCCCCCCGGACTGAGCCTAAGCGGGCACTGGTGATGGCTCCCACTCCAGGCTTCTCATAAATAATGTTGGCCAGCCCCTGGGAAGAGGGTGAGGGCGGGACTTAACTTTGTCCCAAGCTGTAGTCAAGGCAAGGTAAAAAAATATACATTGAACTCATTGTTTTATACTCTCTTGGAAAAACTGAGATTAAAGCCAAGTTCCAAAATTATTTTACCTCTTGTGTTTTGTTTTGTTTTTGGATTCTGGTTTATTTATTTTCTGATTCAATATATTTTATTGATTATGCTATTACAGTTGTCCCATTTCCTCCCCCTTTATTTCCCTCCACCCTGCATATCCCCTCCTACCCACATTCCCCCACCTGAGTTCATGTCCATGGGTCATCATATAAGTTCTTTGGCTTCTCCATTTTATTCTTAACCTCCCCCTGTCTATTCTGTACCTACTATTTATGTACTTATTTCCTGTACCTTTTCCCCTGATTCTTTCCTTCCCCTTCCTTACTGATAACCCTCCATGTGATCTCCATTTCTGTGATTCTGTCCCTGTTCTAGTTGTTTGCTTAGTTTGTTTTTGTTGTTGGTTTTTTTTAGGTTCAGTTGTTGATGGTTGTGAGTTTGTTGTCATTTTACTGTTCATATTTTTTATTATCTCCTTTTTCTTAAATAAGTTCCTTTAACATTTCATATAATAAGGGCTTAGTGATGATGAACTCCTTTAACTTGAACTTATTTCAGAAGCACTTTATCTGCCCTTCCATTCTAAATGATTGCTTTGCTGGACAGAGTCATCTTGGATGGAGGTCCTTGCCTTTTATGACTTGGAATACTTCTATTCAGCCCCTTCTCCCCTGTGAGGTTTCTTCTGAGAAATCAGCTGATAGTCTTATGGGCATTCTTTGTAGGTAACTCTTTTCTTTTATCTTGCTGCTTTTAAGATTCTCTCCTTATCTTTAATCTTGGGTAATGTAATTATATGTGCTTTGGTGTGTGCTTCCTTGGGTCCAATTTGTTTGGGACTCTCTGAGCTTCCTGGACTTCCTGGAAGTCTGTTTTCTTGGCCAGATTGGGGAAGTTCTCCTTCATGGTTTTTTCAAAAAAGTTTCAATTTCTTGCTCTTCCTCTTTTCCTTCTGGCAGCCCTGTGATTCAGATGTTGGAATGTTTAAAGTTGTCCAAGAGGTACCTAAGCCTCTCCTCATTTTTTCGAATTCTTGTTTATTCATTCTGTTCTTGTTGAATGTTTATTTCTTCCTTCTGTTCCAAATCATTGATTTGAGTCCTGGTTTCCTTCTCTTCAGTGTTGGCTCCCTGGACATTTTTCTTTATTTCAGTTTTCATAGCCTTAACTTCTTCCTCTGTTTTGCAACCATATTCAACCAGTTCTGTGAGCATCCTGATTACCAGTGTTTTGAACTGTTGCAAAAGAGATAGGTTGGCTATCTCTCCATTGCTTAGTTGTATTATTTCTGGAGCTTTGACCTGTTCTTTAATTTGGGCCTTCTTCTTTTCTTTTTTTGCCTCGTGCCTGTTAAGTAGTAAGGGGCAAAGCCTTAGGTGTTCACCAGGGTGGGGCAGCCCACATTGCTCCACTGTGGCGCTGTAAGTGGGGGAAGGGTCAGAGAGGGAACAGTGCCACTTGCTGAGCTCTCGACTGGCTTTCAGTCACTTCCTCTGACACCCACAAGTGAATTGGGCCCTTCTGGTGCTGATTTCCGGGTGGGTGAGTTTTTGTGTATCCTAGCACCCCATGGGTCTCTCCAGTGACCTCTCCTGTGAGACTGGGAGTTTCTCCCACTGCCACAACCCCCACAGGTGTTTTCAGTTAGAGGTTTTGAGGCTTTATTTCCCTCTGCTGGAACCCTGGGTTACACTGTCTGTCTCACTCCCCAGCTGGTCCTCCCAGTTTATCCACACATGAAAAGTGGGACCGCCTGATCCGCCAGCCACCCTCTTGCCCATTCCAGTCCTCCAGCCACCACCTTGCCACGAGCCTTCTTGCCCGGCTGCCGTCTCCACCCCTTCTACCCATCTGGATAAATGTTTCTTCTCTAACTCTTTGGTAGCCAGACTTCTATACAGTTCTATTTTCTGTCAGTTCTGGTTGTTTTTTGTTTTTAAATTTGTGGTTGTCATTCTTTTGGTTGTGCAAGAAGGCATAGTGTATCTACCTATGCCTCCATCTTGACCGGAAGTCCTGGATTCTGATTTAAATGAAAAAAAGAATTCTCAGGACACAGTCAACAATAGCGTATTTTGTCTTTTGGCTGAAGTAAGAAGTACATGTTGACACCACTGAAATAGCGACACTCTGAAATGCAAGTATTCAGTATGGTTTTACAAAACTATAAGAATTATATAAAGCAAGGAAATTGGGCATAGCATATTAAAGTATGTTTAAGCAAGGAGATTTCTTAAATTTAATATTGGCTTGATCACTTCCTCCTGGGCTAGTGTTCTTCAGCGTGTGAGGTGAGCTGTCTGATAATGTGAAGAATTTCCTTCATGTCCCTCTGCCTCTGTGCATGTCTCAGGCATTTCCGGGCAGCCGCTGCATGTCCATTGGACGGTGGTGGTGAGAGGCTCCCCTGCCGTCTCCTCTGAATTAAAGAGGTTGCATTGTTATTTGCTTGGCTTTTAGTTCTTTCTGAGCACCTAAAAATAAACACGTTGTTCTTTTCAGATTAAAAAACACCCATTTGGTGTCTGTACTGCAGTGATCTTGCCTAGAAGAGGCAGATCAGAACAAACTCATTGAAAGGAGTGTGCAGTCCTGTGTTACCTGATTAGAGAGGCTGTGAGGTACTAACCTACAATCTGCTTATTTAAAATATGAGGCTCGAATTAAAATGCAGCCAGGAGCGAGGCTTCCTGCTATGTTAAACGGAGTGATTAGATTAATCATTAAAGAGACGACAGGAGTCTGGGGTTGCCTCGTTCAGTCATCCCCTGCCGGTGGTGGAACAGATGAAGATGTCCCAGAGTGCCCTGAAATCTTTCAGATCAGCCACGAGGGATGCGTTCTAGTCTTCGGTCCACCCATCTCTAACATCAAGAATTAAAACACAGTCTAGGCAGGTGTCTGTAACCCTCTACGAGATGAGCACCCGGGGTGTTATTTTGTGGTTATGGGCTTGCAAACTGAGACAACAGTCTGTTTGTCAAAAACAGCAGATTCCATAAAATCAGGTCATTCACAGTTGATTGTGCGGTAGTTTTTGTATTGTGTTCAAGTGTCAAGTTCATTTTCATTTGGAATCAGAGTCTCACAGGTAAATTCACTGGGGATAAAAATGTGTGCTCAGTGCCTCATAGCGAGACACAGCTCCTCCTGCCTCAAGACTTTAGGACATTTGGAAGATTTATGTTATCCATGCAGCCAGCTTTTTATTATAGTATAGTTTCTTACTTTGCTCCAATTTTAAGTTATTTCTCAGTGAACCTTCTTGAAAGAGGCATTCACTGTTGTTTTATTATGTGGTAGAACGTATACTTCTCTTTATAAAAAATGTGATATTGTATCATTAACTATTTTGACATATACTTTCAATATTTAATACCTTCAGGAATATACTGCTTCAATACCATATAAAATATTTTATACATAGTAGAATGAATTCAGTTTAGAATCCAAACAGTGCTAATAGAATTGCCCAATATTTTAAAAGTATTAAGTAATTTAGAATTAAAATGGGTTGAAAATAAAGCCCTAACTTGCTGTTATACAAAACTTAGCCTTAGCTTGAAATTCTTTGCCCCTGCTATATAAGACAAATCCACAGGAGTTACAGTGACAGATGATAAAACTGTTGAATGCTTTTGGTATTATAGAATCATAACACCTCATTATATTAAGATGGTTTATCTATTTTTAAATAATTGGTAATGGTGGTGCTGTCTTGTACCACAGAATGGAAGTTGCTTTATAAATAAAACTTTTCTTTAAAACCAGTTCCAAAAATAGCCCCAGGCCTCTTGGAATTCCTGCACAATCCCATCCTCACTTAACTATTTATTGAGCACCTACTACACCCCAGGCACAGTGTAAGGTGTTGGGGGAAACAGTCATATAGTAATTCTTATCTTTAGTGAAATTTGTTTCCACTGAAAACTGAAAACGAGTAGTTAGGTACAGCAAAGAGCTAACTTGCACTCGATTTTTATTTTAATTTCAAGTTAGCTAATTGAGAAGGAATACCTGTGCTGTTTGATAAAAGAGTTAGAGCCACAAGAACTGATGGCTAAAGGCCAAGAACAATGGAAGCAGAATCTGCATGGTTTGCAAGACCCAGTGCTGGAGATTAGGGAAAGTTCTTGACCTTTTCACCCTTATGCATTGGGGACATTTTACCCAAGAGCAGGAACACTTAGAGCCTGCAAGCTGCAGGAAACCTTTTCTGGAGTCAGTATATGCAAAGCAAACTGCCAGTGCAATGTCCAGATGAAGATAAAATGTGCCGGAATTTGGAAGTAAACAGTGAGGAATTTTTTTCGCCCTGGCAACTTTATCATTATTCACTGCATCTTTGTTTTGCCATGGAGAAATCTTTTTGTCCGCCTTTTATGATTGCAGAAAAATTATATTTTAGTGTATAAAAATAATATTTAGTGGGTTGGAATAAGAATTCACAGGTCTCTTCCTTAAAGCTGGTGAATAATGGACTATAAAATGGTACACTTTTGTACTTTATGTACAAAGGCTGTCTGAGTTTGACTTTGAGTTTGTTGGCTTACATAGTGAAACACTTAAATTTGGCATTGCTTTGGCAGTTTTTAACTATAATTTATTTTTATTTGGGCTGGGAAAAAGGAAAAGATCTCATAATGACTCAAAATATTGCCTGAAGATTGGGTTCATCAGAGTTGAGATTCTTAAATTAACAGGGTATAAAATCTAGATAGGGTGACCTTTTCTATTAAAACTACAATGGAAGCCCCTTCTTTTCCTTAAAATTTAGAGATGCACAGACTTAAAAAATCACATAAGAAAATAACTACTCAGATAGTTGGTCAAGTAAATTAATATCAAATCATGATCAAGCGGAATTCTTTGTCAGGCATGGATACAGAGCTGCTTTTAATATGTTACCCTAAAGTATAGAAAACCAGGAACATTTTTTGTTGTTCTGCAACAACAAAAACCAATTTATCTGTTTGTAAAGGAGTTTTAAAATCTGTATTGGTTCTCAAGATCTTATTTCTCCCACATTCTTCCTCAATGCAACAACGTCAGACATTATACTCAAGTGTAGTGATTCCCAATGGTAGGGCGGTGCCCTTTTGGGTTGGGTGGTCCTGTTGGAATCTTTGGGTGGGGACACTGTAGTTTGAAAGAATACCTTCCCCCCCAATTGTAAGAGAGAGAAAATTACATTTCAGTCAGAACCACATCGAATATTCTAATCCTTGGAAGTAATTCTATTTCCCACCTCCCTGAAAAGCTTTTTAAAAATCCAATTGTGAATTTTAAATGAACCTTATTGGGAAAAGAGAAAAAGTAGTGTAAATTAATTTAAATGGAACAGTATAATCACACTATTGATTATACACCGATTAAAGACAGTTGGTATAATCAGAAAATTTATAATTCTATAGAAGCAAGTGTATTTACAACCAGGAATGAAAAGTGCCCGGATCCAGAGTCTAGTGAAAATGGCTCAGGGACAGGTTTTATTCATGTGTATTTGGCATTTTTCAGGGTAAGAAAGTGAGCTCTAAGGCCTGGACCCCTGAACAAGAACAAGGAACTCTTCTTTTTCTTTTTAGGAGATTGTGCTGTCCCTTCAGGATTGCAGGCTTCTCTACATACCTGCCACTGACTGTCGCTTCCCTCATTTTTTCAGTCCCCATTGTAAAGCAGACATGGGCAGGTCAGGCCAGCCTCATTGAATACTACAGTGACCATGCAGAAAGCTCCATTCCTACAGTGGATCTGGGAATTCCTAATACGGACAGAGGTGAGTCCTTCATTCTTACCACTGCTCTTACTCAGAATGTCCATTGTGCACATGTAGTAAATTGAACTAGTAATGAAATGAAGTATCTTATAAAAGCTGTAATTTTTGCCTTATGTAAATTTTTTTCTTCCTCCCGTCCCAACATTTCTACCTATGGATATGAGTTGATTTTTTTCAGGTTAAGCACTATGTTACAAGTACTAACAGATTATATGTTTTTAGTGAGCCATAATTGATATGACTGAGCACACGACAATTATGATCAAGTTTAACAATACATTTTATACCTTCAGAATTCACTGTGGCCCAAATGGGGTATTCAAAGGAAATTTATCATTTTCCCACCAAAGCCTTTCCTTGCTTAATTTTAACAATTTAACCAGCCAGGATGTTATCCAACTGCTATATTCCAGCCATTGTTAGATATTGGGGGAAGTAGGAATGAAGCTGACAGTTTCTATCCTCAGAAGCTTACGGTCTGAGCTTGTCATGTGTGCATCTCTGAGTAGCACTTCACCACATTCCACACTGGTTGTATGTGGTATAAGCTATATATATCCATGTATGTTAATATTTTAATTGCTAAATTGTTGGAAGTACACTGGGTTTTCTCTTCAGATGGCAGGCTTTCTAATTAAAAACATTTTTTATTAAAAAAAATTAGAAGTAGATATTTGGCCACCTCACCTTCAGATGCTCTTTGCTCATCTTAATTTTTATCCAGAGTTCCTGCCACATTTTTTTTAGTTTTCTGATTCCCCAAACATGTTTATGAATAAAAAAATTAAAGCAGTAAATTAATTGTCTAGTTCTGTAGAGTCATTGATCTTGATTGCCTTGATCGGTAAGTTGTAGAATCAGATGCACTGCTTCTGCAGTTTACCAGTTCTGACACAGTTAAAAGTATTACTGAGTATATTGTTGTCTATTTTGAAAAATGATTTTAGATTAATTTCCTTTTTTTTTCTTTTTAGGTTAGTCTTGCTTTTTAGTCTTCTGTTTAGGTTGGCTTTAAAATTATTTATTCGTGCATTCCTTATTGAATTTCTTATTTTTAGTCCAACATTATTATTGTTCATATTTATATTCTGCTTTATTCTAAAAGGAATTTGAGATGGCTTTCATACATATATACTATAATGCTTAAAAATATAAAGAGATCAAGAATAACAAAAATAAATGTCAAATTGAATGGATTAAGCACTTAATTTGTTAATTAATTAATACTAGCTTGTTCTCTATCATGCTACCAAATACTTTATTGAAATGAAGTGTCTTTCAATTTATTGACTTGGGTTCTCTGCCCAAGTGTTTTATTCTTACTGTGGCCATAGCATTTTGCAGTAAGGCATTAATATTTCTTTGGTGGTCCCAAAGCCTGTGACTGTCCTAGTCAGACTGTGTGTTTGGTGTGTAGCCTGGGACCTGCCACAGTATCCTGCATGTTAAAACTTAATAGCAAGTATTTGCAAAATGAATGAAGGTGTAGAATTCTACTTTTGCACTGCTGTTTCCCCGTGGTTGTGATACTTGGGGTTCTAATAGTTGCTTTAGGATAAGTACATCGAAGCACAGGTGCCAGGCTTTTGTAATTGCTTTGAGGCTGACAAGTTTCTTATTTGTTTGAGTGAAGGGAGAAGTCCTATCCCCTCCTCAGGTTAGCCACGTGACCTTGTGTGATTCCCCTCAACTCCCCAGACTTCATTTCCTCGGGTGTGAAGTGAATGGCTTAGAATTCATGATTTCTAAAGTTCCTCCTGGTTCACTATGTCTGACAAAATTAGAAGAGGCTGATTTTTAAAATTTCAAATTATTAAGGTACATGCAGACATTTAAACTTGTTCTTTTAAAACCTGAAAACTAAAATCAGAATGTTTTAAAATGAATTATATATATTTTAAAGAAAATAGTACATTGTAAGTTTTCCTCTTGCCTTTCCTAGGTCATTGTGGAAAGACATTTGCCATTTTGGAAAGATTTTTGAATCAGAGCCATGACAAAATAGCATGGTTAGTCATTGTGGATGATGATACATTAATAAGGTGAGGAGTCATTCTCGTCCCAAGATGGCTTCATATTCTACATGTATTCATATTTAGAAACTATGGTGGGTACTTCTGTGTCTGGCCAAGATGCGAAAGCGGGGACTGAATTTGCTCTCACATCTGAAACAACCACCAAAAGGGACAAGATACATGCAATGAGGGATTTTGAGACACTGGACATGAGGCAACAAAGAATGATGATAGATGAGACCCAGGAAGCAAATGAGGTAAGTCCTGTGACTGCCCAGCTAGCTGCCCTATGAAAGTGTCCAAGTCACTGCTCCGGGATGGGAATCCAGGTGGAACCTGGCCAACTCCTTGAGTTGAAGAGCTGAAGCTGAGAGTCTGGGTGACCAAGGCCACTGGAGTTTGCAGGACAGAGCACTGGAAAGGACAGAGCCACACAGAAAGAGCCCGCAGGAGGTCTGTGGAGGCACCGTCAAAGTGTCAGTCAACATTGCGTGTGAGGACACTACTGCAGACTGGGGAAAGAACCACCCAGAATGCAAAGTGAGTGGAAGGAATGGTGTCTGACCTCACACAGGCTGAGTACATGTGCCTGTTCACACCGGCCAGCCTGGAATTCCCTGGCTTCACAGGGTAGTGAGCAGAGCACATAGGGGTCTTACTCTAATAGGGGGAAATAGCACTGCTCCAGTCTTGCCTGACACCTTAAAAACAAGATCCCAAAAGGCCACACTATTTCCAAGTAACAAGGTCATATCCAAGAACAAAACCCAAGAGGATTTAGAGAAATAATAAAGTCTCCAGCACTCAAAAAGATTTACAATGCCTGTCACGCAATCAAAAGTTACCAGGTATGCAATGCAGCGGGAAAATTCACCCATAACAAAGAGAAAACTGATTTAATTGAAATTGTTCTAGAAAAGATACAATGTTAGAATTAGCAGTTATTAAGCTGTCATTAATAGCTAGTTATTTGAACTTCATTTATGTTACAAAAGAGATATGGAAGGTGTACATAAGACTGAAATTGAACTTTTAGAGATGAAAACTACATTGCCGGAGGCGAAAAACCCACTGGATGGGATTAACAGCACATTACACTTTGCAGAGGAAAGTGTCTCTGATCTTGGGACACAGCAATAGTAGCTATCCAAATGAAACACAAAGATAACAGATAATTTTCAACAGGTAAGCAGAGCATTCCTGAGCTATGGGACAATTCCAGGTGACCTCGAATGGATGCATCTGGAGTTCCCTGAAGAGAAGGGGCACATGAAAAATATTTACAGAAGTATTTTCCAAATTTGATAAAAATGATAAACGCACAGATCCAAGAAGCCCAGTGAACCCCAGGCATGGCTGTCAGCATCGGCTGATCAGCTGTGCACAGTCACCCCACACTATTCTTGGCGACAGTGTCTCGAGCAGCTAGTGCTGTGCCTGGACCTGCAGCATTCACGCTGTCATCTACAGGGCAGCTAGGCCACTTGGAAGTTTTGTCAGATCTTTGTTTAGTGTTTCTTTTTTTTTTGTATTTACCGGCAGTGCTATCTAACTGCTCTATGATGTCTTAAATTTTTTGAGTTTGAACCTTATCACCTTTTCCTTTTAAAACTTTAATATCCTTGATCACCATGAACTCTAACTTTTCTGAAGTTATGAAGTCGAACAGTTGCAAGATTTTGGGGTCAATTGGAGATTGGCCAGCGTTTGCCACATGTCCAGTTTTTAGTCAGTAGGAAGGATATGATAGTTTTCAGACTCAGCTTAATGATTCTTCACCTTTCAAATGATATTTTGGCTATGGAAATGGTTAATGTCATTAGGAAAACAAACCCAGAGGAGATGCTAAATATGTTATTTTAACCTCACAAATTGAAGGTTGAGGATGTGAAGTGATAATTTTACAATATGTAGGAAGAAGAGAGATACCTTCGTTTCTCCTCTAGTCAAGAAGACATAAATTTTCCCTAGAGGGCTTTGAGTTTTACTGGGCCTGTTATCAACCAAAGGCTGTGATTTCCTTGGGAACCTTTAAGGTTTATTCTCCATAACTGAATTGTATTTTATAGGTATCCACACACTTACCGGCCTTCCCCTGCAGAACTATTTATTAAATAACTTCCTCAACACTAATTCTAAATTAGCACCTAGAATGTTTAACTTGTGTGCCAAAAATAGGATCATTTACAAAGGTAACATTTTTTTGACCATTCAGAAACTGTCAGCGTTATTAGAGGACTTGATCTTCAGCCAGCTACAAACTTGATGAGAAGACTTGTAGACTCTTCTAGCACCACATTCATAAGAGAGTTTTTTCATACATTAATTTGTTTTCTTTACTGTCAGTCTCAGCTCTATGAGTTGGGGAATTTTTGTAAGTGGCATGAGTGTGGAAGGAAAAGATGACCTCTTCTTCATCTTTACTTTGTTTTCATATGACCCCCCCTTCTGCCACCAAAAGAAAAAAGTGAGACATTAGAACTCTAGTGTTTTAAGTAACATGAGGGAACCGAAGGTTGACTGGTGTGAAAGGTCCAATTTAGAAGAAACAGTGGAAGGACTTTATGAGGCATTTGTGAGTGATGTAAGTTCCTACCACATGGAAAAACTAGCTTTTCTCAGCATCAACCTTTGTGTTGCCTTTAAAAAGTAACTTGTAGGTTTTATTTTCCTATGAAAAATTTTTTCATCTTTATAGCAGCAGTAGTTGCAGGCATTTTTCTGATAAGCCCTTGAATCTTCTCATTGCTCTGTGTAAGTTGTCATTGTTGACACATGACAAAGAAGTGTCAGGGCCAGAGGTATATAAACAAATAGACATAAAAAGACCACAGACCAGGGTACAGTTCTCCAGGGAAACCCAAGCATCGCTGTGCATCATAACTTGAACTTAAGGGAAAGCCTTCCCTTCCTGACCCGTGAGCCACTCTGAGGTGGACCTCATTTGTTCCTCAAAAGTACCACCTTCTTCATTAACCTGCCACCCAAACTGGGCGGCCACATGCTGCCAGGGGCTCATTAAAACTGGGAGGAAGGCCCGTGTGTCTCAATTTCTCCCCTGTTTTCGGTAATGTAGTGTTCAGCAGTTTTTTTCCTTAAAAAAATTCATTCTTCTGTAAATCATTCAAATTTCATCTCTGAACGATTTCAGTATTGTACTCTATAACGTCACTAATGGGATGTAAGGACTCTAAAAATATTTACTGAATTAAATAGTCATTGCTTATGTTCCTTTGGGCATCCTAGCATATCCAGGCTCCGGCACTTGCTGAGCTGCTACAAGTCTGGTGAACCCGTGTTCCTGGGAGAGCGCTACGGCTATGGCCTGGGCACTGGCGGCTACAGCTACATCACTGGCGGAGGAGGGTAAATATGAGCTTGGCTTTCTGCACATTCTCTGCATATTGCACTTCTGTTTCTGGATGCAGAGTTGGGTCTGTGACCATGGGATTTCTACTGATGGTGCTCTGGAAATGGTAGCTGGTCCTATAACAGGGAAGTGAACGTTCCATTTGTTATATATAGAAAGAAACACAGTAAAGAATATTTTATCCCTTGAAGAGATAATATACATCAAGGTCCTTGGTAGAAATGTCCCTATAGTAATGCTTGCTTCTGGGTAGCCAATTCGTTTTACCTGCTTAAATGAAAAAAAAAAAAAGGATATAGATTTTATTTTCAGCACATAAGTCATTGGACTTTTAAGTGATCCAGTGCTTACAAATCACATTTGGGAAAAGAGTAGTGTGGAAGTTTAGACTCAAGCAATTAAGTGATATTTGTGTAGGACTTACAGGTTTCAAGTAGTTAAAACTTGACAGGTTACAGCAGTTAAAATCAAGTGTTTTTATTTTTCTACTTTGATTTATTTTTTATTCTTTATTTTTTATTTATTTATCTTCAGAGGGGAAGGGGTGGAGAGAGGGAGAGAAACATCAATGTATGGTTGCCTCTCATGTGTCCCCTGCTGGGAACTGGCCTGCAACCCAGGCATGTGCCCTGACTGGGAATCGAATCACGATCCTTTGATTTGCAGACCTGCACCAGTCCACTGAGCTACACCAGCCAGGGCTAAAATCAAGTGTTTTTAAATGAAGCATCTGCCAAATCTTTTATGGGGAAAGATTTTAATTTGATTTATGTGGGAAAGTCAATTAAGCAGTTAGTGTTTTCTGTTATTTCTTTAGTCTTCACTATTGGGTATTTAGGATGACTTTTTTTTGTATTTTATTTTATTTTTGAATTTATATTATTTAAAAAATTATTTTATTGTTGTTCAATTACATTTGTCTGCATTTAGCCCCCACTCCCTCCAAACCCCAGCCATTCCTACCTGCTTCCCTTGCTTTCACCCCTCCTTGGTTTTGTCCATGTGTCCTTCGTAGTAGTTCCTGAAAACCTTTCCCCCCATTGTCCGCCCCCCCGACAGCTGTTGTTATATTGTTCTTAATTTCAATGTCTCTGATTATATTTTGTTTGCTTTTCTCTTTTGTTGATTATGTCCCACTTAAAGGTGAGATCATATGGTATTTGTCTTTCACTGCCTGGCTTATTTCACTTAGCATAATGCTCTCCAGTTACATCCATGCTGTCACAAAGGGTAGGAACTCCTTCTTTCTTTTTGCTGCATAGTATTCCATTGTGTAAAGGTATCATAGATTTTTGATCCACTCATTTGCTGATGGGCATGTAGGTTGCTTCCAGCACTTGACTATTGTAAATTGTGCATAGGTTCTTTTGGACTGGTGTTTCAGGGATTTTAGGTTATAATCCCAGCAGTGGAATTGCTGGGTCAAAAGGAGGTTCATTTTTAGTTTTCTGAGGAAATTTCATACTGTTTTCCATAGTGATTGCACCAGTCTGAAATCCCACAAACAGTGCATTAGGGTTCCCTTTTCTCCACATCCTCTCCAACACTGGTGGTTTGTTGATTTGTTTATGATGACCATTATCACCACTGTGAAGTGATATCTCACTGTGGTTTTAATTTACATCTCTCTGATGGCCAGTGATGCTGAGCATCTTTTCACATGTCTCTAGACCCTCTGTATCTATTCGAGTCTTGGAGAAGTGTCTGTTCAAGTCCTTTGCCCATTTTTTAATTGAGTTGTTTGTCTTCCTGTAGTGGAGTTATGTGAATTCTATATATATTCTGGAGATCAACCCCTTGTCTGAGGTATCAATAGCAAATGTATTTTCCCATGCAATTGGTTCTCTTTTCATTTTCATGCTGTTTTCTTTAGCCATGCAGAAGCTTTTTATTTTGATGAGATCCCATTTGTTTATTCTTTCCTTTATGTGACTTGCTCTAGGGGACATATTGGTGAAAATACTGCTGCATGAAATATCTGAGATTTTCCTGCCAATGTTCTCCTCTAGGACTTTTGTGGTGTCATGAGTTATATCTAAGTCTTTTATCCACCTTGAATTTATTTTTGTGTATGGTATAAGTTGGTGCTTGAGTTTCATTTTTTTTGCATGTAGCTGTCCAGCTCTCCCAACACCATTTGTTGAAGAGGCTATTTTTATGCTGTTTTATGCTTCTGCCCCATCTGTGAAATATTAATTGACCATATAGACTTGGTTTTATTTCTGGGCTCTTTATTCCATTCCATTGTTCTATGTGTCTGTTCTTATGCCAGTACCAGGATGATTACAGTGACCTTGTAATACAGTTTGATATCAGGTCTTGTGGTCCTTCCTACTTTGTTCTCTCTCAAAATTGCTGCAGCTATTCAGGGTCATTTACGGTTCCATATAAATTTTTGAAATGTTTGTTCTGTATCTGTGAAATATGTCATTGGTACTTTAAGAGTGATTGTGTTCTATTTCTGACTTGCTTTGGGTAGTATGGACATTTTGATTATGTTAATTCTTCCAGTCCGTGAGCATTGTATATGCTTCCATGTCTTTGTGTCTTCCTTAATTTTTTTCTTCAGTTTTGTGTAGTTTTCTGAGTTCAAGTCTTTTACCTCCTTGGTTAGGTTTATTACTAGGTACTTTATTTTTCTTGTTGCTTTATCAAATGGGATTTTTCCCCTGATTTCTCTTTCTGGTATTTCATTGTCGGTATACAAAAATGCCATTGATAAATGCCACTGCCCTTCTGTGCCAGGCTGGCACCTTCAATCCACCAGTTGTGCTGTCCTTGAGGTGTACCAGTTAGGGGTAACTCACACACCACCTTGTTCTTTGCTGTCATAGGTGCTAGGCACTCTCAAAGTCTCTTCAGGGTAGTTCAGCTCCCCTACTGAGTTAAATCTTTCTGGGGACTGCTGACTCTCTGAGCCCTTCTGCTCTCTTCTGCGGGGTGCACCTCCTCCTTCCTTTCAGCAAGCCAGTGGTCCCGCAGGGTGGGAGCAAGTGCATGGTGCCACCGGAGCTTCAGGGATGGGCACCTGGCCTCCGCTGCTGTGGTGGCAGGGGCAGGGGGATACAGCCTCAGGGGCAGCAGTGTGGGGCATGTGGGGCCGAGGCTGCAGGCCTGGGTGTGCGGCCTCTACAGTATTTTTTTTATTGTATTTTTTTCCTTTACCATTTATCTCCCCCTGGAAGACTCATAGCTTAATTATCAACTATAGTAATTTACACTCATTCAACAGGAGTTTGTTGAATGGCCAGTGTGTGCTGGGCAACATTTTGGGCACTGGACCATAAACTTCTAAAGGGTTAGGATATTAAATTGAAGTCCCCAAGATGAGAACGGTTCCTACGTCAAGGTCTCAGGAATCATATTCCAGGTGTGCCTGCGTGGTCTAGCTGGTTCAGTTGTGTCTGCTGCATGGTCATGGGAGTGGCTCTAGCACGGTGATAACCCAGGCTGGGCAGGAGGACTGATCTTTGTTCTGCAGTGGCATGCATCTACCAGAGGTCATGAGCAGTAGCAGATGGGGCTGCATGCAGGCCTTTAAAAAGACACTAAAAGGTAAGGCCAAGGAATACTGACATTGTCATTTTTTTAAAAAAAGCTCCTTGCAGCCTTATGGTGATGTGTTTAGTTTTCTTGGTGTGGTGTTGGGGCCATTTAAGGATCAAGGCATGGTACCCATTAAGCCAGACCTTCCACTTTCAGAAGGCACTGTGGTTTATATATTTTGTACCACAAAAGTGTTAATATACTTTTAACCTAGAAGTGACTTTTTGTGTGCTTTCTGCAAGGAGACTTTTTTGTTGTCTTCCTTGCTAAATGGATTTGGCTGTGACTCCAGAGACTGGCATGAAAGGCCTTTGAAGCTGGGCTTTACCTCAACCGCCTGCAGTGCCTTCAGCTGCTTTAGTTGGTCATCCATTCAGCCAAAAAGTCAGTGTGTGCTGGGCACTGGGAGGGCACTGGGGCCGCAAATGAGAGGCACAGTGCCAGCTACTGCTGGATTGTCCCGAGTCAGGCACTATTGAACCACCGTTGTGGCACCTCTGGCCCCCTGCATGTTGACCTTTTTACCTGCTACCATCTTCTCTGACACCTCCAGGTTCCCCATCCTAAACCTTCTTCCTGCTACCACACCTCCTCCCTTTTCCCCTTGGAAACAACATAAGAATTCACTAGTCTTACTCCCAACCTTGCTTTCTCGGTCCCACTGCCACCTGACCTGCCTCGGACCTGGGGCCTTCTACGCCTTCTACATTGTCAGTGTGATCTGTGCAGCCAATCAGTTGGATCCATTTCATTCTTTATCTTATTTAACCTCTGAGCAGCCTTTGATGAGGTTGACTGTTAGTCCTTAAAACACTACTTTCTCTTACTGTCTGGAACACCCTCCTATCGTTTATTTCTATCTTTCTGCTCATACCTTCTCAGCTCCTTTCATCTATCCCTAAACATCTGGGTTTTCCAGTTATCGTTTTTTCTTACTTCTCTCTTTTCCCTCTCTCACTGATCTCACCCGCCCCCATGGCTATATGCCGAGTGCACCCCAGTTTCTATCCCCAGACTGGAACTCTCTCAACCTGATTCAAATGTCCACTTACCAGAAGACATCTCCACTGGGATGATTCAAGGGCCATTAAACTCAACACCTCCCATACTGATCGCCTCGTTTCTGACTTGAGTTCTAGTTCTCATGTTCTTCCAGTGGCCCTTCCCTTCCCTTCCCTTCCCTTCCCTTCCAGGGAAGACATCAGCATATGCCAGTTCCTGCCCCAGAAATCTGTGAGTCAGCTCCCACCTTCCTCTTGTTCATTCTCTACACCCCTGTGTTTGGCTCAGTCACTAGGTCATGTCTGTTTTATCTCCTAAATATCTCTTCTGTCAATACTTCTTTCCATCAGCACCTTCACAATTGTACTCTAGGTCATTATCATCTCCAGTGTGGTAGGTTCCTGCCTGCTTCAGCCTCCTGGTCTCCCTGCTTCTCCATGCTATTGTCCCCACTGTAGTCAGAGAGACCTTTCTCAGAGCATATCTGATCTTCCTCATCTCCTGCTCAAAGGCCTTCACTGACATCCCATTGCTTTATTTTTTCCCCAAGAGTATGAACCATTTTTTTTGCCTTTGGCCACTAAAGCTAGGAGATAATCATTTAGACTTCAAGATAAGACCTCATTTTACTTACCTTGAATTTGTCTAACCCACAGCCTCTGTGGTCTCCTAAGAACACTGCTTTGGGGCTAAAGTCTCTAGCAGGTCTTTTCTTCTACCTTCCAGCCCTTAGGCACATTGACCTGAAAGCTGCTGCAGCTCACTCTCATCTTTGGAAGTATGCCTCCCTCTAGGAATGAGTTCATCTAGGCTTCATATTGTCCATCTCTTTAAAATTTCCACAGGTTCATGTGATTTTTTTCTTTGCATGACCACGGGAGTGAAAGTCTTCCGCATCCTTTTATAACCTCCCATTGCCTCACCTCCTGCATCAGGTCTTGCCAGAGGCCTCATTCATCTGTGCCCTCTAGCTTAAAGAACTCAGGCAGAATTTATCTCCATTCCTCAGAGGTACTGGCTTTCCCCTTCCCCCCCAAGATGTACATCTGCTGGTCTCTATAGCATTGTTCTGCCACCCCAACTTTCTGCCTCTGTCACCTGTCTAGTACTTTCCAGTCTTTTGGACTCAGTATAGTCATTTATTTTTTCCTAGACGTTTTCAGCTTGGTCTAGCCTCTCAAATCTGGGTTGATGCCTTTCTAATGTACTCTCATGGTGTATTATGCCAACTATTACCATTTAATTGCCTATTTACTGTTTCATTTCCACCTAAATTATGAATTATTTGAAGGCAGTACCTATGTCTCATTTCTCAGTACATCCTCAATTCCTAGTATAGGACTTATTTTCATTACAAGGTGCGGTGAAAAACTGAACAAACAAATGCAGATCACAGATCACTGGGCATTGATCTGTGCATAGCTAATGTTGGCCAGTGTACTATTTTGTTGTTAATAGCACTTTTACGAAGATGCAGAAACATTCTTTGTGAAATAATTTTGTGTTAACTGGATAAAAGTGGCAGACTCAATGTTGAAGAGTTTTTCTAGTATTAGACTTTTCTGATGGTGTAGTTGAAGAACCAACACGTTTGTTTAAACAGCAAGTCAGGATCAGTTAATGGCTTGTAAAACCAAGGATCATAATCTTCACTTTAAAATAATGAAATGTAGGATGGAATAGAATGAACTAGGAATATTATAGCGTGTCACATGTAGTTAAGGGCAAGTATTGTTTGTGAAATTTTTATTTCCATTTTTACACACAAACACATATATACACAAAGTGTTGCGATATCAGATGTGTTTGTTTTCTCACTGTGGTTTACAGTCCAGTAAGTTTCTGAAAACACTGCTTTAAACATCCTGCTAAGCCCCACTAGCCAGACCCAAGTTGAGAGGTGGATTTGTTGACTTACGTGCAGGTTTTCTGTATTGGTTGGGAAACGATACTTGGGCACTATTTGAATTCAGGTGTCTGGCTTTTACTGTGCTTACCCTTCAAAAGTTTGGGTATTTGGGGACAGCTGGTTTAGTGATTGTTTTTTTTTAAATACTTATGTATGCATGTTTGGGTAGGAAGCTGTGATCAGGATGTCATGACTTTCTCAGTGTTACCAAGAGACCATGACCATGACCTTTCATCTGCTGGAAGACTAGTGCAGGGAGGGGGATCATCACATTTCTGAGGCACTTTATTTTCTGTGTGTGCTCTTGACTTGCTGGTGTACTCTGGTACAGGTTTCTGCCTCCTATTTCAATTTTTCTTATTTTAAAAATCAGTATACAGTCATCCCTCACTATATTGTGGTTCACTTATTGCGGCTTCACTGTATCAAGGGTTTTTAAAAACCTGCAATAAGTGAGCCTCAATATAGCGAGGGACGACTGTATAGAATTTTAAGTATTGTTAAAATTATGTAGGTTTAAGAGTGTAGAAAGTGTTTAAGAGCATATGAAGTGTTTATAAGAGTGTGGGAAAGGTTAATAAGAGAGTGGGAAAGGTTTATAGGAGTGTGGGAAGGGTTTATAAAACCTTAAAATATATATAAATAATAAATATAACACCATTACTTCACGGATTTTCATCTATTGTGGGAATCTCTGGAACTTAACTCCCGTAATAGGTGAGGAATCACTGTATTATGTATTAAAGGAAATCACATTATTAGTCTTATTGCCTTTCAGCATCTTTTTTTTTTTAAGATTTTATTCATCCATCTCTAGAGGGGAAGGGAAGGAGAGAGAGAGAGAAATATCAATGCATGGTTGCCTGTCGCGAGTCCCCTGCTGGGAACTGGCCTGCAACCCAGGCATGTGCCCTGACTGGGAATCAAACTGCAATCGTGTGGTTCACAGGCCCGAGCTCAATCCACTGAGCTACTCCAGTCAGGGCTCAGCATCTTTTTAATAGTTAAAAGTTGGCAGATGTACCATGCATCTGCCACCTGACAGATAGTTTTCCATTTTGGTGGCAACTTTGTTTTGAAAGAAGGCATCAGCACACAAATAAACAGGTGTTATTAAAGGCCCTTGTATATTTATTTTATGTGAATAACAAATGTAGGGCTTCGCTGTGTGAGTAGGCCCAAATAAAAATACTGATAAATATTTCATGCTTACATTTTGTCTTCTCGTAAAGTTAATTTTCTAGAGAGTGGGTCCAAATAAAAGCCCTTTCTCTTCTTTCTTGTTCTACTAGATGTTAGCCAAGGAAAAAAGTATTTTTATTTCAGTTGGGTTGACAATGAACAAGATTACAGCTTTGATTGGAATATGAGTATACTGATGAAATTTTCCTCGACATGGCATCACATCGTTGGCATTTAAGGGGATGTTTGTTTATGGCCCATGTGTGTCCCCTCGCAGAGGCCCCTTCCCCGGGGTCAGTGAGAGGAGGTGGAGTCTGACGCAGCTGCGCAGGTGTGAGGCCCAGGGTCACGGGTGGACACTAGACTTTGTAAAAGAAAGTGTATGGTGAGTTTTAAACCTGCAGTTGTCCTTTTTTTGTATAGCTGTTCTTGTACAGTCACATTTTCTTGTATATTCTTAAATAAATAGCTTCTTTTTTCTCCTGTCTGGCCATTTTGCACTGTGTCTTTTGACATCCTTGTGAGGGCAGGGAGAGGGTCTCAACATTATTGTGTCACTTGTGTTAAACTCCCTTGAACTGAGCCCAGCTGGGGGTGGAATCAGCACTTTTGCATCAGTGATTGTCTACAAGCTCTTCGTCCTGTTTTCCTTTCCTGCTAGACTGATCTGTAGAACTCTTCCTCTCTCAGGAGGATCTTACAAGAGGGAGCTTCATTCCCATTTGTTTGGTGCATCAAACCTTTACTGTATACTGTGTGCAAGGCCCCATATTTAGCTGTGGGAATATATGGGGAAATTTTAGACAGTTTTGCCTTCAAGAGTGTCATTGCTTATTGGGATTGAAGTTGTAAACCATATTTATATCTTTTGCCCCATCACCATTGGGTTATTCATGATTTGAGATGATCCATTACCACCCTAGGACCAAAATAAAAACCAGAAACCAATCTGTATGTTAAAAGGGGGAGAATTTATTTCAGGAACTTGGTGTAAAGTTCTAGAAAAGGGCCAGAGGAATAAATGGGAGCGGTGGCCTTGCCTCTAGGTTGGTAACCATAGGAAGCTGTTACTGCTCCTATGGCTGGAGGAGCAAAGCATGGGCCATCTTCTGCAGCCCATCTTTGTGGGCTGCTGTTGGTCATGATGCCGGATGGAGCCAAACCAGGACTGGCCCCTTGCTACTGCTGTGGGCTGCTAACACGGTCCTGCTAGAAGAGCCTGTGGCTGCCACCATGCCCTGTCTCTGTGCCAGAGACTGCATGAGCCATAAGCAGATGGCCTGACCCACGGTTATGCCCTTGTTGTAAGAATGAAGCCAGGACTGGCTGGTGAGAGAGTTTTGAAAGGGAGGAATAGATGTAAGTCCCACCAGAAAGTACCTAGTGCATCAGGTCAAATACTGTCAGAGCACTGTTTGAGACAAATAAGTCTCTCTTCCTCCTTCTCTTTTTCTTTTCTCACTTTCTCAAAATCACTGTATGAAAGCTTCTTTTGACTGGAGTTACTTAGGCAATGCATGGCTTTTCAGTTAGATTTGATCTCATTGTCATTATCTGTGTGAGTGAAATGCCTTGTTTTTGGGGGGCCCATCTACTTGCTGGGGGTGTGGGCAGATTTTGTTATTGATGTCACTGAGATTTTTGGAACTAAAGAATGATTCCAATCTCCAATGGCATATAAAAAAAGAACATGGCATAGTATTAGCAAGAAATATATAAATAAATAAAACTACCTATCAGGTAAACATTTCTTAAGATTTTCCTTTCATAGAAAGCACAATAACATTTTCCCCAGAATTTATATTGCTGATTATAAACATCTTTTGCTGATAGCTGATATCAGCAAAAGATTGCTGATATCCACATCTTTTCTCTCTATCAAAAATGTGGCCTTGGAATGCTGTCTCTTTATTCAGTTTTATGGTTTCTAGAAGTGGCTCTAACCCCTTTGTCTACTCTGACTTCCCACTAGAATGGTCTTCAACAGAGAAGCCATCAGGAGACTTCTCACCAGTAAGTGTCGTTGCTATAGCAATGATGCTCCCGATGACATGGTCCTAGGTATGTGCTTCAGTGGTCTGGGAGTCCCTGTGACACACAGCCCTCTCTTCCATCAGGTGAGGAATGGATTTTATTTCTTCCTTAGAGTGACAAAAGAGGATTTCTTCTCACTCTAGGATTCTCCTTCTTGCCCTTCACGTATTCTTCTGGAAACAGTGTTAAGAACCACCTGGACAGGCTCCACAGGCATCCTTGCTGACCGCTGTGTCCAGAGGGTTGCTGTTGTGCCATGGGCAGTGTGAAGATGGAAGACAGAAACATCTAGAAAATGAAATGGAGTTTGACCAGTACCCTTGCCTGTAGGACCAGCAAAAAACCATTCTTTTTTATTTCCTTTTTATTTTGAGATAAAAATTGCTGGCATTTAAGAATTATTAGATGCTGGAAATATGCAGGATGGACCTGATATTGTCCTGTGGGCCACCAAATTGTATATAATTCTGCATTGTCCTCCATTTTCATACTCTCCTTTGGCTGCCTTTTTATTGATCTCCCCCCCCACATTAAACTGAGTAGCTGAACTTTATAAATCTCAATAAGCATATATTCTAGGGCATCATAGAAAAGAATAGACAACATGATGTTTACCAGGGTGGTTAGTGCAAATAGCTTCACTATATTGCAGGTTGGGGTTGTAGAATGGAATCCTTCTGCATTATTTTTAGTAGTTTTTTAAGAATCAGGTCAGTGGATATTCTGGTATTGTAAGAATAATAGCAGATATACTGGCTCTAAAAATAAGCATAGCCTATACCCATTTAGTACCCTTCTTCAAGAAAAACAAAGCTTTTTGAAATTCGAAATGTAAAAATGCATGTATATCTCAACTGCCCTCCCTTATGTTGAAAATTTAGTCTTTATGCTTTATTTAGTAACCATCAGCAAATGCTTTCATAGCAATGTGGAAAACTGAGCATGACAGAAATAGCACCGTAGAAAATAATGTGAACAAGGCAAAGAAGGTGTTGTATCATCAAGAAGGCAGAATCCATTTCTGCATTTTTGCAGACGTAAGGGAGGATAAAAATAGACCTTTAATAATAAGAAGTGTATGAGAAACCTCCTTCCTGGTACCAGTGAGGAGGTACTTATCCATCTTTTAAAAGCTGGAACTGTCTTACCCAATTTAAGTCTGTGTTATGGTATGATCTCTTAGATTTTCTCTCACTCTTTCACTTGCTCTGTCTCAGGTTTCTCCCATAGAAAAGGAAGGGTGATCACACTGCTGGCATATAAGGGAAATAACTTATCATTGTTCATATGACACCTTAGATTTTTATGACAGTCTTTTTCACTTAGGGAAGAAATACACAAATAAATAAAATTATAAGGAAGGAAGAAAGAAGGAAAATTATTCTTAAATGAAAGTCCTTTGAAGATAATTTTTAAAATTTGTTGTTTCCTACATTTTAAAACTCTTGATTTTTGTAGTTTACATAATAAATTATAAGTCTTCCCAAAATCATAAAATGTGCTCAAACGCTGTCCTCCCAACAGGTACTGTGATGCCTTTCTGTTCTTCAGCCCCTTTGAGAGGGTTCCCTGTGATTTGGATATTAGATACTTTCCATTTGTAAGATGTGAACATTGATCCAAACACTCTATTTGTTCATACTGAGAAAGAGATATGAGGCAAAGAGAGAAAATCTGGGATTCCTGATGAGTTAGAGATACAGTGGGCATTGTAAGTAGTCCCACATGCAGAGTAGCCTGGGTCACTTCCCTTCTCTTTTTAGTCAGGGCAGTCTATGGAGAAATTACAGGTTTAGACAGGAGCTTCAAGCAGTACTATCCTAGTATATCCTTTTGTTAAAAGAAAAGTGTCTAGAGCATGTGCTTTTCTGTTCTTCCAAAATTATATGCCGCTCTTGGGTATGGAAGCATGCAATGCAGTGAACTCTGTGCACAAAATTGTCAAAATAACCACTTCCAGACTGTGGAAATTAACCAAAAGCATTGAGAAGCATTTACTGCTGAAAAACTACCACAGTTTTGGGTAAGAACAATAGCCTCTGAGGCCTTCTGAGTCCTTTCTGCTAGAAGTCCTGCCAGTTTTGTCAGTATGGACCTAGCTGGAGAGGACACCAGTTTTACCATCAGAATTGGTGGACTTGATTTTGAGAGTGAGAAATGAAACTAAAATTGTCAGATTTGATAGGAAATAAACAAGAAAAACCTGTACCTTTGTTGATCTGAAGTTGCAATCTCAGGTACAGTGAAGGGTGTATTAGCCAATACCCTGGAAATAAGAGAGCAAGAGTATGACTAGGAAAGCTCTCCACAATTCTCTGGCCTGCTCAGAAACTGTGTGTACATGCATAGGAACATGGATGAGCCTAGCAGAAAGTAAAAACTAAAACATATCTGTAAGCACACCAAAGCTTTGAATTCACTTTCCAGCCCACACATTGATAGAAGCCTTAGTGGCTTGAGGTGTTTGAACACAACCTCTGTCTATATCATAAGTTGACTACTAAGCTATTCAAGCACAGAGATGAATTCAAAGCTAATCAAGTCACACTGAAAAGTAAAAGTAAAAACTAATTTGAGTGGAGATAATAGAAGCTACACACTGAAGGAAGAAAGATTCCACAATGTAAGTTCAGGCAAGTTATTTAAAAAAATGTAGTAAAAGTAAATAGATTTTTGAGTTGCTCTAATATATTATTGAAAATAACCAGTTTCCAGATTATTGTGAGGCAAGCAAAGAGATATATTCAGGAAAATATAGTCAACAGAAACTGACTTCGAATGGGACCAGATGCTATAATTGATAACAAAGCCTTCAAAGGATTTAATAAAACTATAGGTGCAGAAGTAAAGGAAAGAGTGTTTGTAGAATTAAAGGAAACAATGATGACAATGACTCAACAAACAGCAAATCTTAATAGAAAAATAGAAACTGTGATAGTGAACCAAATTAAAATCCTGTTGTTACAACTCCTAATAACTGAAATGAGACATTCTCTAGACATACTTAATAATAGATTTGAGATGACAGAAGAAACAGTTAGTGAATTTGAAGGCAAACCAATAGAAGTTATCCAATTCAAAGAATAGACAGAAAAGAAAGACAAATGGACAGAGCCTCCTCAGGAATATGGGTAAACCATAAAATGTATCAACATATACTTTAATGAGAGTACTAAAAAGAGAAGGGAGAGAGAATTGGACAAAATATAAAAGGTCATTTGAAGAAATAAGAATTGAAATATCCCAAATATGATTAAAACATTAATCTGTGTACTCAAGGAGCTCAATAAAGTTCAAGTAGGATAATTATAAAAAGAATCACACATGGGAGAGTGAAGATGGTGGCAAGGTAGGTGGGAGTGGAGCCCAGTTCTCCCTCTGCCAGCTGGAACACGTAGCCAATCTTCTGAAGAACAGAGTGAACAGCCAACAGAATCCCAGCTTATATGAAGTTTGAAGGCCAAAAATTGTAAAGGACATTGAAAAACAGATGGAGAGGAGATTGTGCTGGGATGGTAAGGTCCTTAGAATCTGTGCAGGGACCTAGCCACAGCCCGGCGCCTGCCACAAGATATGGGGAGGAGACTTAGATCACCAGCTCCCTCTCCTACCAGAGCAGGGAAGGCAGCCCAGCACCAGGAGGTGCTGGATACTGGAAGTCACTGGGGGAAATAGAGATGAAGTAGGGGACACACAGAGGTGGTATACATCCACTGGGACTGTGGACACTGGCACCAGAGAAATTGAGGTGCAAGGCAATACCTGCAGAAGGGAGGAGTTGGGCCATGTTGCATCCTGGCTCAGACAGTCTCCAGGCTGGTTAGAGAGTTGGGTTGTGTGAAGAGCTGTGCACTTGTTAAGAAAGGTCGGCAGCTGCTTTGTAAGGAACTCTCACGCAGCAGCTGGCTCACCCTGAGGGTGATTTGAGCTGTGTGTGCCCAGAGACTCAGTGGCTGAGTGGAGCTGTATGCTCGAGCTTGATTTATGCTGCATACCTGGAACCAGAGTGGCTAATGGAGCCACGCCAGAGCTTGATTTGTGCTGCATGCCCAGAGATTGAGTGACTGAATGGAACCACACACCAGAGCTTGACTCATGCTGCATACCCAGAGACTGGGTGGCTGATTTAAGCCTGGCAGGTCATGGAGACCTAATCCAGAGGCTGGGCATCTGTGAATATTGTGACCCAAACCTGGTCCTCAGCCTCTCAAAACCATAGGTAGGGAGAATAGCAAAGCCCAATCCCCCTCTTTCTGTGGCATCTAGGAAGACCAGCAGAACTCATTCAATGGTTTAAAGTCAGCAGGAGGCTTATTTTTTTCTTCCCTTTCTTTTTTCCTTTTTTTTTCTTCCCCCAAGTGAGACAATAAGACATGGATTTATGAAAGGTCTAGAAACTGATCCAAAAGAGGAGCAGAAGACTAACCCCAAAAACTGAGAAACTGAGACAAATGTCACTTTGCTCCCATAGAGCTGGCATTTTAATATTTATGTGTATTACTATTATTTTTTTCTACTTTAATTTTATTAGTACTTTTTTCTCTTCCTTATGTTTAGTTTTCCTCATTTTATTTCTCTGTTTAATTACATTGTTTGACTGGTTTTCCTTACTCTCTCTTTATTGAATTTTAAATTTCTTCTTTCATTTCACTCATGTTCCAATAACACACTACTCTTGATTGCGTACTTTCTGTTCTGTTTACCCAAATCATATATTTCTTGTCATATTATTGTTGTTCCAATGCTATTGTAAATAATTGTTGTTCCCTACAGTTGAAAATATTACACAGCAACCTTTCATGATCTTAGCCCACTTCACTTTCTTCCTGAGCATTATTCTTGTGGTTAACTCTATTCTCTCTCACACTACGCCTACTTTCTATCATTTACTCTCACTGTATCTCAGCATCTAACCTTGCACAAGTACTGTTTTCTGGATTCAGCTCCCACTCCTCCTCCGCTCAAACAAGAGTCTTACCTCTCTTTCACCTTTTTTAAAAAGTGGCTCGTTGGGTGAAATATCACAGTTAACACTATACTTATCTAAAGAATCTCCTATCTCTTCTGTACTCGTTGGTACTTT